CACACACACACACACACACACACACACACATATATATATTTCCTTTTTCATATTCCTAATACAGACGAGAGAGAAAAAACAAGGCTCTCGCTCTCAATTGAACTTAATGAGTCGACACCTTGTTTTTTCAATCTCTTAGTCTAAGAGTGCGACACTGCCTGCCACTTCTCTCACATTAACGATGACTTACAACTTTCTATCAATGTCTCGCTTATTTTACAGTTCATTTTGTTCTTTTGCTAAAAGTAATAAACGCCGATAAAAATTTCGAATAATTGCGATTTTGTAAAAGCTTCAACTATTAATTTTTCAATTGGTAGTTATTATCTAACGATTGTTCATTTGCTTCAGCATTTTTGCGTCTTAATAATAAGTAGAGCGCTGTTTGTTATGTCATTTTTTTTATTTGTATGGTAATCTGGTTCACTATTTGGGGGTTTATGTTTGTGTTCGTCATTAGTGTGCTGTCCAACGATGGTATGACAGCAGTGCACTGTTTTGTGAGACAATCTTGTCCCTTTGTTTGGTAAGAAAGGGTGGAAGAAAAATTAGCAGTGATTTTCAAATTGTGTAAAAATGGAGACATCTGTGGCAGGCCGGAGACGAACTGCCACTAGGCATTCGGCGGAAGATCAAGCTCTAGATCAAATCGCTAAAGAGGTACATTATTCAAACTTTAGAATTGCCTTACGACTATTATTTGTTCTCCTTATTAGATCTATATAAATCTTAGGCATGTCTCAACTTTGTGTTTTATGTTTTGTTTTTTGTATTTTGTTTTTATTTTTTTTCATAACAGTTTTGTTTTAATTATGTAGTTAGAAGAATTTGGTTTTCATTATAATTTTGCGTTTTAAATACATTAAGAGTTTAAAATTATTGAAACATTACGTAGGCGGAGGCAAGATTAGCTGCGAGAAGACAGGCTAGAGCAGAGGCACGTGAAATTCGAATGAGAGAGTTGGAAAGGCAGCAGAAGGAAGCCGAAGAGAATGCAGATAGAGTTTTTGATATGTGTACAGGTAAACAAAAATGATTGATCATATTTAAATAAAAATTATCAATCATATTTAAAATTTTAACGCATTTATTCAATTCTAATAGTGATCAATGCTTTATTTAAAGACATATTTATAACTATTTAAGATTTATCTTAAAATATTTAAACCGTACGGATGAATACTAAGTTAAAGTAAATCTAGACAGACGCGCGCGCGCCCGCATGTTTGCACTCAGATGCACAGCATTTAAAAAATATTAATTTTTTATCAATATAATTATTATTTACATATTAAAAACGGTGACTGATTTTGTTAAGATATTGACATTAGTGTTGATAAATTTCAAATTACATTCGACATTTTAATGTATTACAGCAGATACCAATAGAGCTATGAGGGTAACACCGGACCCTATTCGCGCCTCTCGCCTCCTTGCAAATAGCAACAACTTTCAGTCAAGTCGCAGATCTTCGGAGGATTCTCTAGAAGATGCTGGTCTTGGCAGAGATCTCCGAGTATGTATTTCTTTAGTCTTCGTGTAGTATTTACCCTTTTTATAATGATCTTTAAAGTTGTACATGTATACATTTGATTAATTAAAATATATTTTATTTAAATTCTTTATAATTTAATTGTTGATGAATCTTAGTATCACATTATTATTAGTATTATTGAAATTAAATGTTCTCATGCTATAAATTGATTTTTTTTAGATAGAGCTTAAAGAATTTGAAGAGAAGTTTAGAAAAGCAATGATAGCGAATGCCCAGTTAGATAACGAAAAGTCTTCCTATGGATACCAAGTTGATTTATTAAAGGATAAGCTAGAAGAACTTGAAGAAATGACTGCTCAATTGCGTCGTGAACTCAGGGAAAAGAACCGCGAGGCGGATCAGTCTAAGCGTCTTAGTCAACGATTAAAAGAAGATTTAGATATTTGCAGAGCACAGCTTTTAGAAAGAGATACTTTAATACAAGAAAATGGATTAGTTATAGTGGAAGAGGAGCGCAGCGAAAGTGAAGAAACGCAAAAAGAAAATGGACCTATTCATCGAAAAAGAGTGCTAGTCAGTACGGAAGCTGCAGAATTATTACAAAATGCTGGAGAAGGTTCCTTAGGTTTGTAAAAAACGATTGAAGAGCATATAAGTAGAGCTCAATTTTATTAAGAGAAGATCTTTTGAATTTAAAAATATTGTTATTTGTTTATTTATTTATGTTTACAATTAATACTCATCATTCTATGTTTGCTCGATATTCTTAATTTTACAATAGTGAATATGTTTTTCTACAGTACATTTTATTACAATATTCAATTTACATAATTGCATTAATTGCATAAAGTATTGTAGAAATAAATTTTATCGTATAATTTGTTCTATGCAGATGTTCGACTGAGGAAATTTGCATCGGAAAAGAAAGAGTTACAAGATGAGATTAGGCATCTTAGGTTAGAACTGGAAGAAGCTAGGAATCGAATGAGGCCAGAACGAACCTCAGGTTCTGTGTTAGGTAAACGAGCTACTGTGTTCAATATTTAATATCACTACAATTATATATAATATTATTGTTATATAAAGTATTTAACAATCAAGTTTTATGAAAAATTACAAAATTACTTTTTAGGTCTATCAGATTCGGAAGATGCTCAAAGGGAAGCTAATAAGCTCTTAGCAGATTATAAGTTTAAGTTACAAAAAGCAGAGCAAGATATGTCGACTCTTCAAGCAACTGTAGCGAGGTTAGAGAGTCAAGTAATTCGTTACAAGTCGGCAGCTGAAGCTTCTGAAAAGGCTGAGGATGAATTAAAAGTTGAAAAGAGAAAATTGCAAAGAGAGGTAATCTATTATATAAAGGGTTATTTTATTTACTTACACCGTAACTACATATTTTATACAATAATTTTTAGAAAAATCTTTGATTTTAAAATTCAATAATTTACAAATTACTAAGACTTTATCTTAATAAGCATTAAAAATTCTATATAAAAAATGTAATATTATATTTAAAGTATTTATATAATCAATTACATATAATAAATTATTTCAATTTTAAATTTTGGAATTAAAATTTAAGGCTTGTAGTAAATTATGATCTGCTGACTACTGTTTACTTCGTGTATATAATTTGAAATTAGATTTATAGTTTTGTTGAATATTGACATAATGGCATTAAAGGAATTACAAAAAATAAACTATTTATGATCTTTAAAACGTTTAAATTATTTCTAAAATAGTAATTTACAAAATGTATTTATAATTAAAAAAATTAATTTTAATTTTTATAACAAATACTATATTCATTTTATGGGAAGGAAAAATTCCTTAAAAATCTATAAAAAAAAAAAAAAAAAAAAAAAAAAAAAAAAAAAAACGATATGAATAATAATTCATGTAACGTTATATTTAATTTAATTATAATAATTTGAAAAATTACATACATATTTTATTATAATAAAGTTTTTGATATTTTTATTTAAAAAGCGTTTAAACAATTGTGTTCCAATGGAATGTCATGTATAGTCCTTTGAATAAACGTATTGTTGTTTACAGATAATAGAAAATAAATAGATCATTATTTATTTCTGAACATTTTTAATATTCTTCTTCTTCTTCTTTTTTTTTTTTTCCATATTGCAGGTTAGAGAATCACAGGGTCGAGTTGAAGAGTTGGAAACAGCTAATTCACATTTGCAGCGACGTCTGGACAAGCTGAAAAATGCTAAATCGGCTCTCTTAAAGGAACTTTGATAGTTTTGTGTGCTCGCATGAAGAGCTTATATATTTCGGAAAATGTGACGTGTAAATATTAAATTGGAAAAAGCAGACTTAGCAGAAAGATGTGGAAGACTAGTGATCGTCTCGTGTTCACGCGCGAAAGCTAAACAAAAATGAACCTTTCCCTCCCACCCCAAGGACTAACTGCGAATTAAATCCTAATTTCCCTATTTCTTATTCTTCTCCGATTTTTTCTTCTTCTTAATCTCGTTACTGCGCCAGCAGTGTTTTACAAATCTTTTTATAAATGTATTTATTCACAGAAAAAACGAGCGCGCGTTTTTAAGATTTAAAAGACTATATTGTTTGCTCTTATACTTTACCTCAATGATCGTTATATTTACGTTGCAGCATGAATTTTAACTATTGTATAATGCACGATGGAAACAAAATCAAGTAAATGATTGCAATGATTGCAATGATTATCGAGGTCAAGTGAAGCATTTGTACTAGCGAAATTCCACTTAACGGTATATTGTGCATTTCGAGCATAAGCTCCATTCTTGTCAATCGACTTTAAAGTTGGTCGAGACCAATAGCCACATTAATAACTACACAGGCAAAACTATAATTAAATTCTTTTACATGTAATTATATCTCCGTAGGCATTAACTTGAAACGAATAACCATAATTATATTTGATTATTGGTGATTTTTTTTGTTTTTTTTTCACCAAGTATCATTTTCTGAATTAAAAAATAATTTTTAATGTATTTCGTCTGTATTATGTTTATGTATTATAATGCGAAAGCGAATGTACAAGTTATATTTGACTAAAGCGTTTTACAACGATGTAAAGTCTACAACCTTTTCCCCCGCATCGAACAGTTAACGACAGATACTAGGTCTATTTGTTTTGTAAGTCTTAATCATTGTTTAAAGCATGAAAAATATATGTATATCTTGTTTAAAAAATGTTCTCATAAAAATTTCAATCGCGCATCAAATTGCATTTGTTGAAGCTGACGAAATCATGTTATAAAAGCTCTTTATTAAATAATTCATATTTACTAAAAAATTGACAAGTCCATTATTTATAATGAAAAGTTTCATATATTTAAATAATACATATCTATATTAGAAATCAAAGCTATACCTTCTTTATATTGAGTATATTTTACGTAACATGAATTATACGTTGCGTAACATACATATGTTTCTTTCGTTAAAAGCTAATAAAAACAGAGTGGAAAAATCTCTGATTGTCAATGCGTCGATCCTTTCCGTTTCGCCCATATCGGACTATGAGCATCGGTCAGCGGTTTATTTGATTTAGTAATGTTCAACAATTTATAAATGGGCATTGGTCTTGCTTTGATTTCCGTCATTTTTCTTAACTCCATTTTCTGAGCTTTTTCCTTTGCAAGTCTCTCCTCTTCCTCTCTTTTTCTCATCTCATTGTCTGCTATTTCTTTTTTTTTAATTTGCTCATCAAACTCCTTTCGTTGTTTGGCCCGTTTATCTGTATTGAGCTCTGTTAAAACGGAAATACTTTTTTGCGATAATTTGCATTTGGGCTCGAGAATTTTAGGCACGGCACCGTGATTTCGGTTTTCTTGATTCTCAGGATCTACTGGCGACCGACTGGTCTTCTTGGGTACTACGAATGGAATCGACATTGGCTGCTTAATAAAATTCTTTTGTTTCAACGTTAAGTTCTCTCGCGACTTTTTTAATGAATTGTTAGCCGCTTTACTGTTACCACTTACATTGCCGGATTTCCATGATAGATTCTCCTGTGATTTTTTTAACAAATTATCCCTCGATCTTCCCTTGATTAATACTGGTTTAAATTCGGGAACTTTTTGGGCTTTGAAGGTACGTGCCTTTTTTTCTTCCTCCAATAGCTGTTTGATTTTTTCTTCCTTTTTCAATTGTAATTGTTTATGCCTTTCTTCAAAACTCAGTGATCGAGCTATTGTAATTTTTGGCTTATTCAAGGAATTTTCATTTTGAATTTGCCTATTAAGAAGTGGTGTTTTTATGGTTGCTGGCACTGGCCGTGCATGGAACTCTGTTTTATTCTTTTGCTGTTCCATTTCTAACATCAATTTCAATTTTTCTTGCTTTTTTATGTGTAACTCTCTGTTACGAGCTTCAAAGCTGAATGGCATAACTTTTGTATTTTTCTTCTTTGTTTTGCATGGCTCCAATGGAATACCAAAATGTAAGACTTCTTCATCCTATATGTAAAAAATATTTATTTGAAAAAACATCATACAATCTTACCGATTGAAGAAAAACTTAAGTTAGATTTTAATATTTTACATAAATAAAAATATCTGTTAGATATGATAAAATCATACGATTAAAATTACAAAATTTATTTCTGCGCAGAAATAAATATAAATTTCTTTTATTCTTATATAAAAGATATGGAATTTTTTAGCATATATATCTTATAATATTTTTGCTAATATTTTTAAAATTCTAATTTAATTAATACTTTGTTTTTAACAAGTAAGAAAAATCTATATTTTTGTTATATCTATTACAATATATATATTTTGTGGATTTGATTTTATTTATTTAAGACTAATTTTATTATAAGTATTAAATACTTCACCTTAACAATAATTCCTTTGTCATTGGTACTGACAATGGAAGGTACAGTCTTGGTTCGATGAATACGCTTAGTCTCCTGGATTTGTTCAGTTTTTTTAATAGGTTGCCATTTTTTTACTTCAGTTAAGTGGAATGGTTCTGGATGAGTAACCATTTTTTTCTCAACTTTTTTCAAAGGGGCGGGCTTAATCAAAATGTTTTTCCGCACTGGATTAGCTTTTATTTGATTTTGACGTATTTTTGCCAATTCTATTCTTTCTTGTTCCTCTCTGCTTATTGCTGTAACAGGTCTTGATCTGTTTTTGCACATAAGAGCTGGTGATGTCGCTCGTGTTAATTTAAATGACATTCTTCTCAATTGCTCCGTTTTTGTAGCTTTAATAGTAGTTGAATGGAATCGTTGTGGTGTAGCTCTATGGAATTTTGTAACAGCTTCTGCCATACTAACATATTTATTTTTAATTATGGATTTATTAATACTTAATCGACGTTGGTTTGTAATGCTCATACGACGTTTTACTTGTCTGTGCCATGCAGTTCCAGTTAACGTAGTCACCTTTTTCTTTGAACTATTTCCTGAATCAAGTAAATGATTAGAAAAAGAAGTAACAACTTTGCTCATTGGTAGCTGATTTAAACTATTTTCATTTTCCATGGTAAGACCTTCTTCTTGTTCTAATCTTGGTTCCGCTTCTGATTTGAGCTTTTCATCAGAAACTTCATGCTCTGTACTAGTTGACGTAACTTCAAGATTTATCTGCGATGAATTTATTTGTTCATTTGTTGGATTTTGATATTTTTCAATATTAATATTTTCCTTATTATTTTGTATTTGATCATGGTCATTGTTTTTAGTTGATTTTTCATGCATGGATATACAATACTTTGGTGTCATGTTAGCCTGTGCACACATTGATCTAGTAATTCTTTTTATTGGTGTTTTAAATGCAGGTGAATCTACTAAACATGATTTATTAAAAGATTTTTCACCTAATTGTTTTTTGAACGATAATTGCAAATTACTCATTGCTTCCAACAATACATTTTCATAAGTTGTTTCTTTGACAATGTTTTTCTTTGAACTTAAAATCTTGTTTCCTTGTCCACATTTTATTCGCATTGGCGTCTTTTGAATAAGACTTTCGTTTGATGATTGCTTACTAAGATTAAATTGTTCTGTTGGTATATCCGGTGAAACAGAATCCACGGAATCAAATTTTTCTCTATATTCATGATCAACATGTTTTCGCAAAAAGTAGTCATCCAGAGAAATTTGTGGACTGGGAGCTATAAAATCTGCCCACTGTGGTGCATCTAAGTTATCCATCAAGTTTATAGAAATTCTTCTCGTTTCTATAAACTTGGAAACAGATTTTTCAATTGTTCTGCTATTGCTTTCTCGATGCGATATATTACTGTTCACCCTCGTTTGATCAGGTGAATTAACATAATCTAAATAATAAAAATTTCTTGAATGAAATATTCAATTACATTTATATCATAACAATAACATATTTTCGATTAGACTTAAGTAATTTAAGAAAAAATCTTTGAAAAATAATAAATTTAGTTCACGACGGCATTTAATTAATTTTTAAAAAATTTATTTCATTCGAAAATACAACTTTAAATCTACCATAATTGAAACAATTTAAAATCGAAAAATTTTTGGTAAACCTTCCCTTTTTACATTATTTAAATTTGTAAAATGAAAAAAATTTAAAATAATTACGTTGAAATGTTATATTTATGTCGTGCTATTATAATGAAAATATTGAAAAAAACATACCCCGGTTTTTAAAATATATTACATATTCATCATGCGATTAATAGAAATTTGTTACAATACGCAATAATATTGATAAGGCTTTTAATTTATTTTTAACGCTGTAGATGAGCTTTAAAAAAATATGACAGGAAATAAAATAAGTAAGCTAATGAACAACTGATTAATTTTCACTTACCGCTAAATGTTTCTTCAACTGACTTTACCAGATACGACCCCACGATGGTAACTTAATATTAAAACAACTCAAGTGAAAGAAAATCCGTTGAAAGGATTTATTTTAAAAATTGTAATTAGTCCAGTAGCACGATCAAATCGCACGATAGCCAAATGTACGTATGTACATGAATATTAGAAGAGTAACCGCTCCTTAAATCGAACCGACATAACCGACATAAATTCAAATAAAAAGAAGAACATTCATTGGCTAATGAAAGTAACTATAATAAGGTTAGGAAATATTAGATTTGAATGATTCAGTCACTATATACAATATGGCTACTTATATTGCCAACAGATTGAATAAAAATTAAAGGCAAGATGTTCCATTGTTAAATTATAAAAAAATATAAAAATTTATTAATCCTGTCAATTACATTTGGATTGTGAAATATTTTATTTCGCCCATATATTTGGTTTAAGTTTTGTTAATTATTCATTAGCCACGGGCATTAAATGCACATATCGCTAAATATTCTTTTGTTATCGTATATATATATATATATATATTTTTTTTTTTGTTTTATAAATTCTTACATTTATTTACAAAATACAATTTATAAGATATATAAAATATTTTATATTTAAATGATGTATGAAAAATGTAATGAAATGAACAATCGATTTTTACATTTAATACATTTAAACAAGTATTCGGCATATAGGTGAGTTATATTTTATTTTTAATGCGCTGTTTTCTTATATTTCACATTATTATACATGCCATTATTTTTTATAGACATTGTTTTTACTTATAAAATTACATTTATAATTATTACAATAATTTCAACTAAGAGTGACGTGCATATGTATAACTATATACGTATAACTTCGTTATTATTCGTTCGACATATTTTTCTGTTTGTATGCACGATGTCCGATTGCATATTCAAATATTCAGTAGAAATTAAGAAAAGAGAAGGGAGTGCCAAAGCATCTACGTCGTAGGAAATTGGAAGGGGGATAGCTAAAATATTTGGTTGATTTATATGGTAATGTTTATTTAGAGATTATATTGAATATTTTTAAGTATATTAAATACATTAAGGTTTCGGTTAAGTGAAACATATTTCTCTATAAAAAGAGTTTGTGAATTATATTTATATCTGTCATCCTTATTGTTCATTGCGAAGGACATAATTTTCATTGTATTTAAGATTTTTGTCTTAATATACTTTCGACATTCATGACTGGAATTTTTATTTTTGGAGAATGAAGTTTGACGAAATTTTCTTGCAATTCTTTCCTTTTCTTTCGTTTTTTATCAATTTATAATCTTACAGAATATCCAAAGCGATTCTTATGATGTATATAAGTTTTTATGAATTTCTCATAAATAAAATGTAAAAAGGAAATTTAAAAGATCACCGTTGTCGATTAACTCAACAAACACATATTTCTCAAATAATCGATTAAATGATAAACAATAACTTTATTAATACGCTACAATTAAGAAATAATAAACTAAGTCATTAGAATAGATTCACAAGTACCTAGTAATAATACTTGTCCTTTAAACGATATTTTTATTATTTTATAGATTTGTGATGTAGTTGAAAAAAAAACAAAACATAATTGCTTACTTGATTCAAAGATTCTTTTCTAAATCAACTACTAAAGATAAGTTCAATTGTTAAATCAATAATCGCAAATAACCATTCGATTTATCTGGGAAAATGGATACATTAACGCATTAATGCAAGATTAACGAACGATCGGCACGTTTTAGTCAAAAGACTACAATTAACGATCTTTTTTTGAATATTTATAAATCATGATACTTAAAAATTATCTATGTCAATTATTTTTTTACTGGCCTATCTAAGCTTAAAATCTTGGTAGACTGATATTATTAAAAACAACAAAAATTAATTACAATGTCTACTTTATTTGATTAATATAGATGATGAAAATAATATTAACACATAGACACACATGCACACACGCGCGCGCACACACATCAATTAATTAACGTAAAGGTAAGTTCTCTTATTGCAAGAACTGATGGCTTTTTAATATTTCTTATTAAAAAAAACTGTAATAAAATGAGTTTCAGTATTATATTAAAAATTTTATTATATTCACATTTTCATTATTCATTATTTACAAACTGCGTCTTATTTGTCATGGCTATTTTATAACTATAAATTATCGTACATGAAACGAATGTAAAATCTAAAGCTTTATAAAGCTTTAGATTTATTACCGACGCGAACAATATTGATGAATTTTGTTTTTTTTTTGTTTTGTTTTTTTTTTTTTTGTAACGGCATTAAAAATTATATTATAAAGATAAATACCATATAGTATATATATATATATATATATATATATATATATATATATATATATATTAATAAAATATAATACAATTGTTGGTTACAAAATATTACTCAGAAGAGAAGTTGATTTTTTATTATTACTGCTTCATTCCATTCTGGTATTTCCCATTCAATCATTCATTCTTATGCGCGCTCTTTGATTCTCTCTCTCTCTCTCTCTCTCTCTCCGTCGCCCCTCCCACACGCTCTTTTGACTGCTCTAAAATATTAACGCGCGATAGTAATTATATGATGCAGTGTCAGTCATTACGTCAGTTGATTCAAAGCTTGTAGTGCTTAAAGTTTAAATTCTATCCACAAGACTTGCCATTTAAGCTTCGTACAAGTGTTAATTTACCCTACTTAATCATTATCTTCTTTAAATTCAAAAAAATTTTTTCGTAAAGCATTTATACTATCGAGGTACGTACTGTATTTTAATATTTAACGTTAATTTTGTATATTTATAACAATTTATTCGTTTTTTTTTTTTTTTTTTTTTTTTTAACATAAAGAGTGTCAAATACAGTCAAATTCATTTAATTTAAACATAAATAATGAATGGATAAATTTAACAACTTATGATTAAAAAACAATATAGAGAGCTTCATTATTCGAGTAAATATAAATATAATGTATTCCTTAAATAAGTACATATCGATCAATTTTGATCAATTTATATAATTATTCATTAATTGCGTACACATCAGATTTTCATTAATCCATTATCTCATTTACTAAAAAATAGTGCCATGATAATAAAGCGCATTTTGTAATTGTGTTTGAAAATTCAATTTATTCAATATTCATTCGTCTGTTTTATTTAATTGTAAAAATCGCAAGTTTGCAAGCTTGCGTTGAACATATCTGTATGTGCAATGCATAGTAAATGCAAACAGCTGATTTATCTGTTGCGTTGAGCCACTTAAATTCATTGTCCCGTACTTTCTTTGTGTTTATTATGGTTTCTCTTTTTTCTTTGTTATCATATTGCGAGTAAAGGTTCTACCACATGATTTTGTATGATTCATTGAACTAGCCAATCCGAGAAAATATTTAGACAATTATGACTATATTGTTTTTCTATTAATCACCGTTGTGATTGGTTCATCTCAAAACTTGTTAGAACTTGTATATTAACCTTAATTTGTATTGTGGTAAGGAAAATTTTGCCCAAGGTATGTTTTCCCTACGATTGCTTTGTTTTTCCGAACAAACGAATCCACGATTACTAATTCGAATGGCTCTCATAAATATTAAAATTTGCACTTAGTGGACTATTAAACGACTTGAAATATGTTAAATTAAATGTGCCATTAGATTATTTCTTGAGAATAAGATATTGAAATTATACGTCGTCGGATAGTGAAGTGCGTTCTTCCACCAGCAAAATTCATTAAATAATTGTTAAACTATTTGGTAATAGAATTTTTCAACGTTTAAGATGTGGAAGCCTTTCGAACCAGGAAGTTCGCCGGTGGATTGGTGCGAAGGAAATTATAGCATATCACCTAGCATAGCTGAATTTATGAATACTGTAAGTTTACTTTAATATTTGCATTTAATTAATTGAATATTCTTTATCTTTGCTTGCTCCATCTAATACTTCAAACTAGACGACAACAGTATTAAAATAATAACAATAAAATCAGTTTAGATTGTATAGTTTCTTAAAATTAATAAATATATTGAAGGCATTGAAAGAATAATTTTTTCTTAATTATTTAAATTATTTAAACTTTTATTCAAATGTATCTTTGAATATTAAGATTATTCATTTGAATTATTAAATATTTATTATTTGAATAACATTATTTCCACTATTAATTTTAAATAATACACGTTATTCATGAAATTCATTGAAATTATATAGCCAATGGAGATTAAATTTAAAAAGTAATTTTTATTTTAATTGTATTTTTAGCTGAGCAATGCTTTCTTCCTTCTTATACCACCAGTACTTATGCACCTTTTTAAAGATTATGGTAGGTTTGTTAATCCTGGAATCCATGTGATATGGGTTCTTTTGATGATTGTTGGTATTAGCAGTGCATATTTTCATGCAACTTTATCATTAGTTGGTAAGAATAATGTATGATAAATATTCTATCTTACTTTTAGGCAGTGAATAAAATAACATTTAATATGTTTTGTATTTGTAGGTCAACTTCTTGATGAATTAACAATTTTGTGGGTTTATATGGCTGGATTTTGCATGTTTTTTCCTCGAAGGTTCTTTCCTACAATAGTTAAAAATAATCGTAAACGATTATCGCTTTTTCTAATTTTGCCAACATTGATTGCCACTGTATTAGCAACTTATCATCCAGCAATTAATGCATTTGCATTGATGACTCTTGGAATACCAGCTTTTGCATTTATGATTCTTGAACTTAAAAGGTAAATGTTAATCCATTCGTTTTAAAATTATTAATTTTTTACTTATATTCAATAATACAATTTTTCGTAATTAATAATAAAATTTATTTAGGACAAATTCAGCAAGAGTCTATCGGTTGGGACTTCGCTGCGGAGCTGTATGGGTTGTAGCGGTCACATGTTGGTTAAACGATCGACTATTCTGTGATACATGGCTTAATTTAAATTTTCCCTATCTTCATGCTTTGTGGCATCTTTTTATTTTTATCGCAAGTTATACAGCTGCTGTATTGTTTGCTTATTTTTCCGTTAAGGAAGAAAGACCTCAACAATCGCCGATGCTAAAATATTGGCCAAGAGATGATTTTGAACTTGGCATTCCTTACGTTACAATTAAGTGTTATATTAAAGTTGATAGTAACACAAATATATAAAACTTTATATTAAAATTTGATTGATATATCAGTGGAAGCTCAGAATATAAATGTTCTAAATAAACTATTTATAATGGATTGCCTGAGACTGAATAAAGTATTTGATACCAATTATATTAATACAAATAGAAATTTAAGTAATAATATAAATCTATTACAATATCGAAGATACTTATATACGCGCAACTATGTGTGCGCGCGCGTGTGTATGCATGCATGTATGTGTGTATAATTAGATAAAAGACGAATTTATGACTGCATCAAAGATAAATCTTAGATACCAAATGTATTAATAAAATTAATACCACTTGTGTGCTATATCAAATTAGGCAGTTAACTTAATTAATACTAAAAGTAACTTTACTTAAAGTACATGTGATATTTAAGCATATTATATTAGTGATTTGAAAAAGTGTATCAATTTAAAAAAAAGAAACATAGCCAATACCAGAAATCCTAAGTGCATAGTTGAGAAACAGACGCGGGAATAACATAATTTATAATTATATAAATATGAAATAATTAATGATACCAAACTTGATTAAAGTTTATTTTACCATGCTACTCAATAAGTCATAATTGAGTATCGCTTATATATTATCAAGTTCAAAACTAGCCCAACAATAATATCTTAGGGTGAATTTTAAAAATAATTATTTATTTTCTTATTGAAATTTACAATGTTATAGTTTTTACTTCATTTTACAATAAATTTTAAAATATCATTCAATGAAAGCCTTTGTAATGTAAAGGAAGTAATTTCGTTTTTATTTTTATTTCAGCGCTATAAGCATCAATTTTATTTTACAGTTTATGTATTTTGTATTGAACGATATGTTTATAATTGATTCTCTTTATAATTTTCTAATTATATAACAAAAGTGAAGTGTTTGTATTAAGATATATAATTATGATGAATATCAAAGAATTAATTAAAACAAAAAAAAATTTATGACTTGTAAAAAAAGTTTGTATTTATCTACAAATTATTTATTTAAAATAAATTTCGTACAAAAATATTTAAATCGTTAATTTTTTTAAACGATAAGAAATATTTGAGAAATGTAATAACACAGATATAAAGTTAAAAAATATTTATTGTCCCAAATATGCATGCTCACAGGTTTATTATATTTATCAATAAATGTGTATTGCATAATATTGTAAATAAATTGTGGTGTATAAATATATTAAATATTATTTTGTTTCTCCTCTGTAAATAACAATATTATTATCCGTTTCATAAATTTTAACTTCATAAAGTAACTCAGGTTTAGGCAATAATTTTTTAATTTCATTAAAAACGTAAATAGCAACATTTTCTGTGGTAGATACAATATTTTTAAAATATGGTACATCTTTATCCAAATTTTTATGATCAAGCTGTTCCATTAAAATCTTCTTCATATAAACTTTCAGATCAGAAATATTCATGACCATTCCCGTTTTTGGGTCAACAGGACCTCGTACTGTAACTTCAACTGAAATTTATAAAATTTTTTTATATTGGTTTTCATTTAATAAAAAAAAAGAATGAAATATATATATAGATAAGACCGTTAAATAATTCAAAATAATAAGTAAATATACAAATTCTTAAAGAATTAAAATATTATAATTATTATTACTTTTTTTGATTTTATGTTTTTTTTTTAACTTTTGCTTACTTCAATACTTCAATTTGTATTTATTAAATTAGTAAGCAAATGATGATTACCAGTGTAATTATGTCCATGACCCCAAAAATTATTGCACTTTCCATAAACATTTTTGTTATCTTCATCACTAAGCTGTAAACTGCAAATAATAAACAAATAAAAATTATCTTAAATTTATATAATATTATATAATATAATAAATAAACTAAATGTATTTTTTACCGAGTACGTTATATAAGCTGAATAATGTGAAAGTTTAAATTGTAATTAAATTAAAATAAAAAACATTAAATTTTTTATACAAACCTATGAAGTCTATGACAAGATGAAATAGTTTCCTTTCTAGTTAAATAAGCGATAGAGACTGACATTGTTAACTTTTTAAAATCACGTGCAACAAATAATTTGCACGTCTTATCAGCTTTCTAATAGTGAACTAAACTTGATTTCATTTATCATTTTATCCGTGCAGGATATAAAATTCGATCTTACAAGTGCATTTGTCAACCGCTGATGTGATATGCTGAGAAACACGCACAGCACTAACATCTATATAATTATTTATTATATATCGTGTTTCATACGGTATAATGTTGTCTAGTTCGAGGTTAGTAATTTATTCCCGCTCATTTTTGAGAGGATTTGAAATTATATAATTTATTTAATATTTTTGATAGCTAATGTAATCATTATGAAACATCATATGTGCTTCTCCATATATATTATAATAATTGTATATCTTTTATCTATCTTTTATTTATATATAATTATTTATATATAATTAATCGATGCTGATAGTACACAACTACATATTGTTGCAAAATTTTATGTTTGCATGAAATTCATTAGTAAAAACAATTTGTCCTTTCAAACAATTATGAATGTATTTCAATTATTACAATAACGTAACATTGATTTTACTTTTCATTCTATACTTTAAATAGTATAATTTAAATATAAATAAATAATCATTATGTTTCATATTATTTTATGTAGAATTTCTTTTTCCAAAACTATTTTACTTTAAAATTTTTTCCAGCATTTAATGCATGATTATTGATTTCTTTCTATTATTGATTTAAATCATATGTACCATCACGTTTATTCACGGGGTTCTTATCAAAGTTATTTTTATCTGTTTTATTCTGTCATATAACACGAAGTTTACGTTGTTATTATTATTCCCTATTAATATATCAAGATAAGTTTTTACATTTAATCCAATACCCAGATTTATGAATGCTCGATAAGTTTAAAGATTCAGGAACTTATAGTAATAAAAATTATAATAAATATAGCCAATGCATGTACTTATATAATATTATAACAATAAATTATATTTAAAATTAATATCGTACGCAAAAAACTATATTAGTTGAATGAACAATATTTAATTGGTATGCAAACGTAATAATATTATTTCTTCTTTCCTTCATAAAACAAGATAATTATATCTGCTTTTAAATTATCACATAGTAATTTCTTACTGCGAAGTACAAATTATATAATTAAATATAAAAATTTCCTTTTTTCTAGATAATCTTAATTGTTTATATATAATAACGATATGAACATTATTGCGACTTAATAGCAAAGTTAAAAAGATTAATTAGAAAAAGTAAGTATTTGCTTTAGCATACGGTTAAGGATAAATTTAACATGCTTTTTTAAATTTATAATCTTTTTAATAAACGTACCGGATATTAAATTAAAATGTAAATAATAAATCATCACCTCATAAAATTATTAGACAAACCATAAAATAAATTAATCTTTAAGCTTTATAAACATTTCAGAATTTACAAACTTTTACGTTATTTGATATTTCTGGTCTGTAGATAGATACTCCGAGGTTTTTGTCGATATATATCTTACAGCCGCTCAAGTTACAGATTTTTTTCTCATTATGATTATGTATACATTAAAATTGTATACTGAAATTATTATACACTATTTTTATAAATATTGATAAAGAATTTCTTATTAATCATAAATTTATAATATATATTTGATGTTGTTTACTAGTCTTTACATTATGATAGAGCAAGTTTATTTAAAATATCTTTTTTAATTATTTAAAATCTAAATGAATGGCGACTACTAGTACCCGTTAGTATGTATTATTAATATATTTATAATAGTTATTAATTACGTGGGGAATTTTAAAATGATATAATATTAAGCATTTATTTGCAAATAAAAATTGGAGATGTAAGAGGTCATTAATAAATAAAAAGTTTCTTAATGTCGCTCATTAAAATTAGTTGTTTATTTAAATTGGCATATAAGTAAGGTTGAATTATGTCAGTACAATAATAATTATCTTAGATATTAAAGTTTTATCGGTAAAAAAAAAAAAAAAAGTTACGATGGCCAGTTTAGCTTAAAAGTAATCTTGCGTTACCCTTGGTAGGGCTGTTGTAAAGTTTCGCGGAATCATGGAAAGCTTATAAATTGTATCTTAATTGTCGTCTCGGGTGACGGTAGTGATAACAACGGCGGCGACGATGACGAGGGCGACGACGACGACGACGACGACGACGGCGACGACGACGACGACGACGACGACGACGACGACGGCGACGACGACGACGACGACGACGACGACGACGACGGCGACGACGACGACGACGACGACGACGACGACGACGGCGACGACGACGACGACGACGACGACGACGACGACGGCGACGACGACGACGACGACGACGACGACGACGACGGCGACGACGACGACGACGACGACGACGACGACGACGGCGACGACGACGACGACGACGACGACGACGACGACGGCGACGACGACGACGACGACGACGACGACGACGACGGCGACGACGACGACGACGACGACGACGACGACGACGGCGACGACGACGACGACGACGACGACGACGACGACGGCGACGACGACGACGACGACGACGACGACGACGACGGCGACGACGACGACGACGACGACGACGACGACGACGGCGACGACGACGACGACGACGACGACGACGACGACGGCGACGACGACGACGACGACGACGACGACGACGACGGCGACGACGACGACGACGACGACGACGACGACGACGGCGACGACGACGACGACGACGACGACGACGACGACGGCGACGACGACGACGACGACGACGACGACGACGACGGCGACGACGACGACGACGACGACGACGACGACGACGGCGACGACGACGACGACGACGACGACGACGACGACGGCGACGACGACGACGACGACGACGACGACGACGACGGCGACGACGACGACGACGACGACGACGACGACGACGGCGACGACGACGACGACGACGACGACGACGACGACGACGATTCTACGAGAATTGGCATCTTTCGAGAAGAGGCGTGGATTTTCAAAGTCCCGCGCGAATACTCAACAATAATGTAGAATAATAATAAAGGAGACAGGAAGAACGGGCGTGCCGCAGCTGGTAATGTAGTTCGACGACAGGGGCGAGCCGTACGGTCCCGAGATGAGGTCGGATGAGTACAAAGAAGTGCGGAGTCGGCGGGGAGGATCAGTGATTACCGAGCGGCAGAGGCAGTGAGATGAGTGCTAACATGAGTGTTAATAAGGACCGAAAGTGCTACCTAGTACTCGACGATGGGACTGTCTTCCCCGGCAGGAGCTTCGGCGCCTACAAGAAGGTTGACGGCGAGATCGGTGAGTCCGGTCTGCCGAAATAATGCTGTGACGTTGGCTCTGCCGGTGAATCAACACGTGGTCCGCGCCGTCGCGGGAGCTCCATTTTTTTCCTTTCCACTCGTTTTCCTTCCTACTTTCACGCATGCCTCTATGCACTTTTCATTTTCAAGCCAATCACCATGGGCTTATATGAGTACCTTCCTTATGGAAGCCGTGAATTTTTACCGTGGTCGGATGGGAGGTTGTGGAAGGGTTTCGATGGAGAGTTATAGTTGTAAACGTTGAAATGAATTTTGAACGATTAGCAAAGTAAACAAGGTCTTATGGAGTTTCAGTGTTTACGTTTTCCAGATAATGAATTGCTCGATTTGTCATTTCGAATATTCGCAATTTATAAAGCTTTGCGGATAAATCGAGTTAGATATGTTCTTCTTTTAGACTGACAACTATATTCCGAAAAGGTTCTTTTATTTATTTTATCATTCGAGGCCCCGTATCGGTATCTTAAATGATATTTACAAAATAAAGCGAGGAATGATGAGGCACGGTTTTTTCAGTCACTCAATGCTTGTAACTAATAATATTCGAGCAGATTAAAATGAATTTTCAATTAAAAAACAGTAAATTCAAATAAATATGATTGGGTAGTATGGGCATATCAATAATCCACGATAAATTGCTGAAGTTATATAAATAGTATTCTGTGTAAATGATTTAAACCTTAATTTTACTTTAATAAGTTATTAAAATTTATACATTATATAGCTCTACCTCTAATCCGTTCCTTTTATTTTAGAGGTTAGAGGTAAGCAAAACTTTTTTCTAATGAATTCCCTATATGTAACGATGTAACTTGAGCCGAAAATATTATATATATATATACCGACAATTCTATCCATCCATCCATCCATACATGCGTGCCTACGCACATGCATGCATATGTACATACGTGAACGCGCGTGTGTATTACATGCGCATTTACGGTGTATTTATATATATATATATATATATATATATATTGTGTGAGTGAGCGAGTGTGTGCGTTTGTGTATTTATAATAAGTTTAATAATTCAAAAGCGATATACTCAGATAAAATATTAAAATTAACTTGCAATTATATTAAAAATCCATATAATAACACACATACTCAGCTTATAATACAAAATGTATACAATATGAAATAAATTGTATTAAAAAATTTAATCTATTTTTAATTGAAAACAGGCAGTGGCTGACAAATAGAAATAATAATTTTTATTAGAAAATTATTTTATAATAAATATTTTAGTTTTTAGTATAAAATGAAACAAGCGTATAAATCTTTAATTTTTCTAAGTTATGGCAAAATTTAAAGCTATTGATTTTAATTTCAAATATTTTTATTATATGTAATAATTCAATAATTACGAATACATCCGAATAATATTTGTGATAATGTCATTTACTTTTTCAATTTATTATCAATTTTCACCTAAAATAAATCTTTCTCGACTATTTATAGTTTCAACATTTACGAAAATATAAATAAAGATATAAGTAAAGAAGAATGTTAGGCGACTGTTTGCTATGCTCGGAAATAATTTATACGCGAATGTACGCATTGACCCAGGGTATGCCGCCACGTGTTTTCTACTATTGATATTATTATTCCTTCTTTTTCGCCAATAACAAGTTCAAGGTTTCTCTCGATCGATATGTATTTAAGATAAGAATTTAATATTACCGATTAGTTTAATCAGATTAATAAAAAGGCACATTAACTTCTCAACATCTTCCAAGTGCAGATTATTTGATAAGTTTCAATTTTTATACCGTTAAACTTATAAAAAGCACTTTATAATAATATTAATACTGTCATGATTATTAATGAATTTATTATGACTTTATTATTAATACGGACATTCTTAACTCACTATTAAGCATTTGTTAAAATTTTAAATCTATAATATACTATTACGAAAATGCAATTTACAGAAACAAACAAAGTAAGCACTAAAAGTATTTAGATCGGAAATAAAATCAATAAATTAACATTTTCTATGATATAGTAAGTAGTATATAATTTTTAATAAAATATGCTTAGTAATTTTTATATGTAATACATTTAATTGTATGAAAGATTAATATATTTGAAAAAATTGTAGGTATTACGAATAATCAAAATTATATGGGTTGGTGTTGTAGCAAATTAATACAATTTAAAAATATCTATTATCTAAAATTGCACTATTAAATGATTATTTTTTATCATAAACTATTGAAAAATAAAATTTTTTAAATATAAAAAGTGTTTAATTATTATTCATTAGCGAGTTTCATTTACAAATTTTTCTATTTCACAAATAATAATTTAAGCATAAACGAAAATTTAATGAAATTACATCATTTTTTTTTCACGAGAAATTTCTATTTTTATACTAACAATCTTTATTTTACATTATATATAATTCAAAATATAATTCAACATAAACTGTCTAAAGTTATATTGTTCAATCAACTTTTCAATATAAAGCAAGATTGTGGCATATCTAATCTATAATATGCATGTTTTATATATTTATATAAATATTTGCAATGAGTTTAACTTTTTATCAATTTATTGTTTAATTCTCAAGTAATATTGATGCATATGGCTTTGAAAATTTTGTATATTTTCTTAATAGGATGTCGATGTTTGAATGAAAATAATAAAGAGTGTTTAACAATTTACGAGTGTAAATTATTATAAATGACTGAAGGAAAATCTGATAAAGAATCGATATAATTTTTAATTATGCAGTATGGTATTAAATTATAAACAAAAGCTGTCATTATAATATACCTAACATATTTTTTTTTTTTATAAAAATTCAGTACTTTTATGTATAGAATTCATAAGTTCTTATATGTAAAGTTAACTACTTTTTACGTATATAATTGATTATATTTAAATAATTTCGTATTTATCAGTAAAAACTGTTGTCGATTAATTATTAAAGCACATAATTATTTTAACGATAAAATATTTAAATATAAATTTTGTTATAATTAATAACAGTTAAATGTTCAGAAATTTATCAAATGTTTTTTTACATTTAAATACCAATGTAAAGAGAATACTGTAAATCTGTAAATTAGTAATTTTAAATAATTATTTATCTAATGAACATAAGGGCAAGCAAACTAAAAATGGCGAATAATTTAATAATCAAATAATAATCATAATCGAATAATAATAATAATAATAAATATATCATATGAATAATTAAAAATTCAAAGTGTACATATTTTTTAAAGTACTTTATTTTTACGGATGATAAATCCAAAAAACTATATAAATAAATTTTCTCAATTAATCATAAAAACTTAACTTATAAGACTTACATTTATCTAAAATAGTTGAGATACAGAATGTTCTTTATATTATAATTTTCAAATTGTTTATACTTTTGTTATATTTCTATCTAATTATAATAGAAGTAATATTGAAAAAAATCCTAAAATCGCAATTGAAAGTAGCATTATTGTAAAAGATTGGTAAAAAAAAAATTAGTTAATGGATGATTCCAATTTATTAAAATTCATAAAAATATTTGTATGAGTGTTTAATAAATGCAAATACTATAATAATGTTTATATGAAGAATACAGATTAGCTTATATTGGCAAGAACTAAACTTTTACAAAGCCAGTTTACTGGTAGTATGTATAGTTAGAATGTGATGGCGTTTGCGTATTTTACTTGTGAGAAATTGCTGAATTTAAGCATTTCGATGCGAAAAATGTAGTAATCTTTTTTATATTGTAGTTTTTCAAACTGGAATGGTTGGTTATACGGAATCGTTAACTGATCCATCTTACTGTAAGCAAATTCTTGTGCTTACCTATCCACTGATTGGAAATTATGGAGTACCGAGTAATGAAAAAGATGAACATAACATATTCAGGTAATTTGTTACCGACGCTTTGACTGCCTAAGTAATAATTTAAAATCGCTGAACTTTTTAAAGTTTAATGGAATTCGAAGAAAAATTCATAAAATTATTTACATATTTTCTTTAAAATTTTCCATATCAGATTATTTTATAGTCAATTCAGAATATATTTTGAGATATATAAATTTAAAAGTTTAAGAAAAAGCTTGTCAATAATAATATTCTTAGAGATTGAACTTTCGCGGATAAGTCTTATCTAGTAAAATACGTAGTCATTCAAATTACATCACTTTATTCGAAAAATTTGGATTCTGTAATAAATATTTGATCTTAAAGTAATTAACGCGTATAAATAAAAATATATTAACATTTTATATACAATCATAATTTGACAATCTAATTTTATTGAATTTTTATTTTCTAAAATACTAATACTAATAATAATAATAATAATAATGATCAGGTTTTATATATTATTTTATTGTATTCTTGGTGAATGATAATCAAATACTACTTCCTTATTATATAATATTTTTCATGATTTTGAAGATTTTCATTAGCGTTGTAAAGTTTGGCCACTCATGATTTTATCGACATTTGCATTTTAATTCTGTGCATCATTTGCATCATGTTTTTATTAACATTGTGATTAACGTCTAAAAGAAATTATATAATATGTTAATATTATAATTTCATTTATATGGTTTTCTTATATATCGTTTATATACTATTGTTTATTAATAATTTTACCAAGATTGCTTTCGATTATTAAGAGCTATTGTATCACCAAATATTATTAGTAATATAATTACGCTTAATAAAAAATTTAGCTCGATATTGGAATTAACTAAATGATTGAATTTATTATAGAGTCTAAGTAACACTGTTCTAAAAATATTTAAATAAAATACTAATGTTATCTTGGTAAGAGTATTTAAGTATTAAAGCATTCGCAGATTGAATGGATAGATTAATTGAAATGAGTTATCGCTGATCGGTTATTTTAAAAATACTTTATACATGTATATTTACATTTGTATCTAGTTAGAAGTAAAGTCTATCTGATAGTTTTGATAATTTTGATAATTTTATTTTTATATAAATCAATTATGTATATATATATATATATATATATATATATATATATATATACAAATGAAAATGTTGCAAATTAATGATTGTAGATGGTTTGAATCGCACTGCGTTTGGGCGGCAGGTTTGGTGGTTAGCGATCATTGTTACACGCCTAGTCATTGGCGACAAACGAAATCCCTTTCAGATTGGATGGAGAGTAAGGGAATCCCTGGCATTGAAAAGGTCGATACGAGAGCCTTGACAAAAATCATACGTGAAAGGGGTACGATTTTAGGTAGAATCGTCCATAAAGCTCCTATGGAAGGGGAATTATTGCAACGAATCGTCGATCCCAATACAGAAAATCTCGTTGCTCAAGTTTCTAGTGTAAGATAAAGACAATTTCTATTGGTATTTTTTTTTTTTTTTTTTTTACTTAAATTGTTTGATTAAGTATTTCACTGTCAATATTAATAGATATCTTAATGGTTAAATTTATAGGTAGATGATAATACAGAACAGTTAAAATTAAATACATTATAAACAATTGATCTGAACAATTGATTGAAAAAATCATTATGTTATTATAATTTTATATTAGACGAATATTAATATATGATTTTAATACTTAATAAAAGATAATTTTCAGACTATATTTTGAAGGCGGAAAAGATATAAGAATAATATAACGTAGTTGCATGTTTTTAACGATAATGACAAGTTATCGTAATTATTATTTATTTAGAATAATTAATAATGCAAGTTGTAAGTTTCATTAAATATTCCAGAAAATACAGACAACGTTCAATCCAAACGGTTTTCCATGTATATGTGTGATAGATTGCGGTTTGAAGAATAACCAACTGCGGTGCCTGATATCGCGGGGTGCAAAAGTCAATATTGTTCCTTGGAATCACAAAATACAGAACGAAGATTACGATGGATTATTTATTAGCAATGGGCCAGGCGATCCTAGTATGTGCAAGAAGACGATTGATAATCTTAAACAAGTTCTCGCTTCACCTAATAAAAAGCCAATTTTTGGTATTTGCCTTGGGCATCAGTTGTTATCCATTTCAGCCGGTTGCAGAAGCTATAAAATGAGGTTATATATTATTTCTTTTTACGCGATCTGCTATTTACCGAATGTATTGCTTTCTTTGAAAGATTATTATAAAAATATTATATAATATAAGAATATAATAATATAAGAACATTATATAATAGATAATAGAAGTGCAATTTTAACGAATAGTAAATTAATATTTAATATTAATGTTTAATACAATATTAGACACAATTCATAATTTTAGTTCATATATTCCAATATGATAGCGTAAAATTTTAGAATTTTTTTAATTATTGTATGTAAAATATATTATATCATGCATTATATTAATTTTTTAACCCGTTTCCTCGATTTATGGCTTTAGATATGGTAATCGAGGACATAATCAACCCGCGATACTTGAAGGTACGAAGCGCTGTTACATGACCTCGCAGAATCATGGCTTTGCTATCGATGAGACAAGTCTTCCCAAGGATTGGGAGGTGCTCTTTACAAACGCCAATGACAAAAGTAACGAGGGTATCGTGCATACCAGTCTCCCGTACTTTTCAGTGCAGTTTCACCCCGAGCACACGGCCGGTCCACAGGATCTAGTGTGCCTCTTTGACGTGTTCCTTGATGCGGTGAAAGATGCCGTTAGCGGGCAGCAGAGCACATCGGTAAAGAGTCGGCTTCGGCAGATGTTGCAAGAGACGATAAAAGAGATCCCGATTACCAGTCGACCGAAAAAAGTCCTGATTCTAGGCTCTGGCGGGCTAAGCATTGGACAAGCTGGCGAGTTTGATTATTCGGGTTCGCAAGCTATCAAGGCCTTGAAGGAGGAGAATATTCAGACGGTTCTCATTAATCCAAACATCGCAACTGTACAAACGTCCAAGGGGATGGCTGATAATGTCTATTTTCTACCAATCTTGCCTGATTACGTCGAGCAGGTTCGCAAACTAACAAGTTATTTCATGTATTTAAGTAATGAATCGTACTGTTGTTCGTTACCTCAGCGACACTATTAATTATAGCTGCATCGTCTGGTCATTTAACCATCTATGAATTATAGTATTTTATAATTGCGTACGTGTGCGCGAATTAAGAGTACTCTTAAATTTAGTCCAATAGGCTCTTTAAGCCGAGCTTGATTATCGATGGTATGCATTTTAATATGAAAATATAATAAAGCTACTGCGTAATTAAAGTAGGAGCCAAGTATCGACTTTAAAGAAAGCGCCAGTGTTGCTTCCCCCCCCCCCCCCTCCAATACAATCGTATAATCAAGAGTTATTGAAAAGCAGATTATTCGAGCAGGTAATACAATCGGAGCGACCCGATGGCGTCCTACTGACATTTGGCGGTCAAACGGCTTTAAACTGCGGCGTGCAACTACAAAGTCAGGGAATCTTCGAAAAGTACGGTGTGAAGATTTTGGGTACGTCAATCGAGTCGATAATTGAGACGGAGGATCGAAAGCTTTTTGCCGAGCGCGTCAATGAAATCGAGGAGAAAGTCGCTCCGAGCTGCGCCGTCTATTCGATCCAGACAGCCTTGGAGGCTGCGGATAAGCTCGGCTACCCAGTGATGGCTCGAGCTGCCTTTTCCCTCGGTGGCCTCGGCTCCGGCTTCGCTAACACGAAGGACGAGCTTAAAGCCCTCGCTCAGCAAGCACTCGCTCACTCCTCGCAGCTCATCATCGACAAGTCCTTACAAGGCTGGAAGGAGGTGCGCAGATTCTTCCATAACGCGCGAGCGCACTGCAATGCTTAACCGTATATTACAATTAATTTTTCTTACTTTTATTTTATTTTTTTTAAATACGTTTATTCTGTTTAAATCAGGTGGAATACGAGGTCGTGAGAGACGCGTACGACAACTGCATAACAGTATGCAACATGGAGAATGTCGATCCACTAGGCATCCACACGGGCGAGTCGATCGTCGTCGCACCCAGTCAAACTCTATCGAATCGTGAGTATAACATGCTGAGGACAACCGCCCTTAAGGTTATTAGGCATTTTAATATCGTGGGCGAGTGTAACATACAGTACGCCCTGAATCCGGTCGCCGAGGAATTTTACATTATCGAGGTGAACGCAAGATTATCGAGGAGCTCGGCCTTGGCCAGCAAGGCTACCGGCTACCCATTAGCCTATGTCGCCGCTAAACTGGCCCTGGGCATACCATTACCCGACATTAAGAATTTGGTCACCGGAAAAACTACCTCATGCTTCGAGCCGAGTTTAGATTATTGCGTTGTTAAGATTCCGAGGTGGGATCTTAGCAAATTCCAGAGAGTCAGTACGAAGGTCAGTGACGATTGATTTTACATTAGAACTCGAAAGTAATATTAATGCTCGGCAAATTTATCCCTTTAAAAAAGTGACTTTATTCAATTATAATTGTTACGTAGATGACGTTATTGCATAAGTTATTTTTAAGCTAGTTCGTGTATCAGGTGGGCCAATGTGTCCGTTAATCATGAACGATGATAACGCAATGATGACAATTAACATTATTATATCAATCCATGTTAAAAAAAGATGCATAAGAATTCGTTAATATTATTTCGCATGATAAGTTTTCTTGCTCTATCGGCGTACGTTAGTTTTTACGTACATTATTATATTCTCTGTAGTAGCAGATTTAAAAAAAAAAAATATTATCAATCACTAGAACACTTAATCCGTGTATCTTTCTTTACAATAAGTCGTAAGAACATAAAACAATCGTTAAATTGGCATTGTGCGCGTTAAACAAACAAACAAACAAAAAAACAAAAAACAAAAAACAAAAAAAAAATACTTACTGTTCATCGCACTGAGATTGAAAACGTGTATTGATACTTAGATTGGCAGTTCGATGAAGAGCGTGGGTGAAGTGATGGCGATCGGGCGGACGTTTGAAGAAGCTTTTCAGAAAGCTCTACGCATGGTCGATGAGAACGTCACGGGCTTCTGTCCGTATTTAAAGACCGTGAAAGAGAACGAGCTCGAGCAACCTACGGATAAGCGGATGTTCGTCCTGGCAGCGGCAATAAAGGCTGGCTATTCAATGGAGAGGCTTTATCAGTTGACGAAGATCGATCAGTGGTTTTTGGAGAAAATGCGAAACATCATTGCCTATCAGAATCTATTAGAGAACCTCGATCAGACGAAGTTGCCGGCCGATATATTATTGGGCGCTAAGCAGCTCGGTTTCTCCGACAAACAGATCGCAGTAGCCGTAAAAAGTACGGAGCTGGCCATTCGCAAGCAGAGAAAGCAAGCAAACTTATTTCCATACGTTAAACAAATTGACACAGTGGCTGCAGAGTGGCCGGCCAGTACGAATTATTTGTATTTAACGTATAACGGCTCCAGTCACGATTTAGATTTCCCCGAGGGGTATGTCATGGTTATTGGTAAGTGTGTTTTGTACGAATTCTTACGAAGCCTCCTCTCTGCGTTCTTAAAGAAACGTACATTCGCGTAAAGTCCAGAAATCCCGAAGTTTCAATTTTAATATCTGCACCTTTCTAATTAGCCTCGCAATACTTTAAACAAAGTAACAAGTCGTAATTTCGAATGAATTATATTTCCACTTGTTATTTATAATAAATACTTGGAAAATTGTCCTCAAATAATATTTGTTTTCTTTCGAAACTAATGTTATATATATAATTTTTTTTTTTTTTAAGGATCTGGCGTTTATCGAATTGGGAGTTCCGTGGAATTTGACTGGTGCGCTGTAAGTTGTTTACGGGAGCTTCGTAATCTTGGGAAGAAGACAATAATGGTAAATTACAATCCGGAAACCGTGAGCACGGATTACGACATGAGTGACAGGCTTTACTTTGAAGAAATATCCTTCGAAGTGGTAATGGATATCTATGATCAAGAGTTGCCCGAAGGTATAATACTGTCAATGGGAGGCCAATTACCGAATAATATAGCCATGGATTTGCATCGTCAACAAGCACGGATTCTGGGCACCTCTCCCGAGCAGATTGACGGGGCTGAAAATCGATTTAAATTTTCGAGAATGCTGGACAGGATCGGTGTCTCCCAGCCAAGGTGGAGGGAACTGACCGACTTGCAAGTGCGAAATTCGTAGTATTTTCTATTTCTAAGTAATTGCAATCGATACTTTTCACTGGCGCTAATAACAGCTAATGGCATGTACATTGCAGGCCGCTGTGGAATTTTGCAGAGTCGTAGGATATCCATGCTTGGTGCGACCGTCTTACGTACTTAGCGGCGCCGCTATGAACGTTGCTCATTCGGATAACGATCTTCAGTCATATTTAAAAAGCGCTGCCAATGTGAGCAAAAAGTATCCGGTTGTTATTTCGAAATTTATCCTCGAGGCAAAGGAAATTGACGTTGACGCTGTCGCTTACAATGGCAATATACTCTGCATGGCCGTGTCCGAGCATGTCGAGAACGCTGGTGTGCATTCGGGAGATGCGACATTAGTCACCCCACCGCAAGACATTAATGCCCAGACTCTGGAAAAGATCAAAATTATAACACGGCAAATTGCTCATAATTTAGAAGTCACGGGGCCTTTTAATATGCAACTCATTGCTAAGGTGCTTATTCCACTTTACAATGTTTTAAAATAATAATAACATTTGCTTAATTAAGATTAATATATCGTCGATACGATATGTTTCATTAAGTTTTTGGATTAATTTCATGATTTAATTATTGACAGTATTTTAAAACAATTCTTATCATTAAAATTATAATCTCAAATCACTCTTATTATTTTTTATTTATTTATTTATCTATTTTTTCTTTTTTTTCCCCTCTTTTCTATAGGATAATGAATTAAAAGTTATCGAGTGTAATGTACGAGTTTCAAGATCTTTTCCCTTCGTTTCAAAAACATTGGATTATAATTTTGTTGCGATTGCTACTCGATTGATCGTAGGGGAACCCGTAGAAGCTGTTGATGTACTTGCAGGTTGTGGAAAAGTTGGCGTCAAAGTACCTCAATTTTCCTTTTCTAGATTAACCGGTACGTTAATAAAATTTAAATGATAATTTTTAATAAACATACGAGCAGCTTACAGTAATTAATTTCATATCAGGTGGGTCTCGTAACTGTTTTAATAGTAATTGCGTTTTATTTAATTCCACGAATATCATGCTTTATTAAAGTCTTATATAATTGATACTCCAAAGTATCTGTATTATATATATATATATATATATATATATATATATATATATATATATATATATATATATATATATATATATATATATGGGCTTTATATTTAAATATTTATTCAAGGGGCCGATGTTATGCTTGGCGTTGAAATGGCGTCTACCGGAGAAGTGGCTTGTTTTGGAGATAATAGATATGAAGCTTATTTGAAGGGTGTAATGAGCACGGGATTTCATATCCCAAAAAAGGGAATTCTCTTGTCAATCGGTACATTCAAGGTAATCGAAAAAAAAAAAACTATTATCAAACAATTTTTTTTTTATTTGGCCCTTGGAAATATATACATTTATAATAATCTTTTAGCATAAAAGTGAATTACTGCCATCGATTGCCAGTCTTCATAAAATGGGATTTAAACTTTATGCTAGTATGGGAACAGCAGACTTCTACTCAGCACACAAAATCGATGTACGTATTCATGTTTATTTATATAAATAACGTCGTATATTTCTATAAATCTATGATTGATGAAAACGATTTATACGTATATATTATAATTATTGCTGTTGCTGCTATTGCTGTTATTATTGTTGTTATGTTATCACTATAATTATCATTGTTATTATGCTTATCAAATTTTATTTAAAAAAAAAAAAAAAAAAATATATATATATATATATATAGCTTATTTCAAGGTAGATATTGAAGAATGTTAAAAACATTTTCTTATTCTATTTTAATATTCTATTCCAATTACATTATTACAAATATTTAATATTTATTTACATTTTGTATTTGATTTCCTTTTTAAATAGTTTTTGTTTAAGTCCATTATATTTTGTAATAAGTCGACTATGACATAATGTATTTACGCACCAACATTATTACAAAAGTTTATGTATATCTAAATTTTGATGAATATTTTTCAATAGTATATTAATTATTATGTATTGCTTAGCTTTCATAAAACCTATGTTGCTATCTTTTTTAATGCTATATGATACGCTTAAATACTTGATTTAAATGCTATAAAACGCGTTTTAAATTTTCTTATTTTAAAACTGATAATGCATCGATAAGACAATAACAATGATTTCTAAATGTATTTTATTACGTACAATCGATTCAACCTTAAAGTTAAGAATTTGTCTGTACCGTTTTGACTTTTAGTCGAACCAACTTGGTTTTAACGACATTGTCACGGTCGATATTGTATGCATGTAGTGTCCATTCGATACTTCTTGCGATTCCATCTTCATTTGAACTTATATTTTTACTCGAATTCGAGGGACTACATGAACGTCAATCTTTCGGTGGAGAAACCATTAATGGCGGATTAGTATTTCGTTTCGGTGGTTTCGGTGCCATCTGCTTGGAGACATTGGTCGTTGTCAGCACATTGTCACTCAGTGTATGTACTTCGCGAAAAATTTGTTCAGCTGTGCATTGATGATCGGGATCCTCGGCTAATAAAAGTGCCAAGAGTCTTGTCTGATTAAGATAGAGATACTTTTTCTGTGATGCACCATATTCGTGACAACTTTTTGCCATTTTTAAGAAGTGCTTTGAGAAGAAAATTACTAGATAGTTTAATCGAATTTTCGTTAATGGTTCACACTTTTCCTACAATTATAAACAACGAATTAGTTAGATCGCTTTATTATCGCCTTATTTCTTATAATAAATTGTTGAAAAAATGCAAGTAACTTGAAACCAAGCTTGTAAGTAAAGGCAAAAGAAAGAAATTTTCCAGAACTAAACTCATAATTCATAACTCGTCATATCTATAATGATTAAATATATGAAAATTCAAATAAATATTTATAAATTTTTGTATTTCAATAATTTTTAACACCGTTATTGCGAATGAATTAATATTTCATAGATTATTAAATATGCTTTACAACTTAAATATTTATCGATACACTATGTAATAATGATTTTCTAATAGATTGTAATAGTAATTTTCCCGAACATTTAAAACAATTACAATATTCTAAGCGCTTATTCATAAGTATAATGAATAAAGAATGGCAAGTTGAAATTATAAGAAATCATGAAATGAATTCAACAAGTTCGTAAAATGCACGATCGATTAACGTCGCGTTTAAATGATTTACCTGAATGTCGATAATTGTATCGAGCATTTGTTTAGGATTAATAAAGGTATTCGTATTTCGCTTCCTCGTCTGCATGTAATGTTGATTCGCATGCTTGGCTTCGTTCCAAAATTTCATTTCACTTCGTCGATAGCCCGAGGCCGTCGCCCCGTGCGATTGACTCCCAATGTCAACGAGGAGGGGATTGGCGAGCAAAAGCTCGTTGATAGTCAAAATCCTGAGAAGCTCTTTGTAATCAAGTTGCGGATAATCGTTGCGCTCGTAGTGAATCTTCTCCATTGCATGAAATACAAACATTACTGGATTCTCGATCATACGCTTTAGCTGCTTCTGCGAGTGCAGTAGATCGTTTGCGCGCGCGTTTGCGAAAAGATTGCGATCGTGCATGAAGTAGTGGGGCATCGTTCTTTGTCGAATGTGATTGTGCAGAGACTCGAGTAGAATCATCATGTATTTGCCTGTAAAATGCAATTCTCTGTCACATTCCCGTCGTTCGAGTATATCCATACTTATCCTCGTTATTTCGAAGGACACGGCATATGATATTGGTCGGCCGTTTCAACTTGAATTTTGCTAATTGTAAACGTGCTCGTCGTGCACCTACCCATTTCGAGCTCCGGCCAGACTGATTGTCTCTCGACCATCCAGAAGAGCATGTGCCTTACGTGCTCGATTCGAAGGCCGAAATTCGGGGCCCTTACGAAGGTCTTGTGTAGCATAAGAGCTATCGAGTAGACGGTCAACTGCGTATCCGAGACTCGACTCTCGAGGTAGCGATCCGCGGCCGGGAAGCTCAGACACCAGTCGAGCTTTCGTAAAGGATTGTTGAGGCCTTTCTCGGTACTCGGAGCCTGGGGACTCTCGGGCACGAGGTGACATGGGAAATTTTGCAGGTGGCAGGAGTCTTCGTAGGTCGGCCAGTCGTCGCGCTTACGCTCTAGCCACTTGCGCGTCCACTTGGGCCATGGGCTGGAGAGGCACGGGATCACCTCGTACTGCTCGATGTTGATATAACTGTGCTCATGAAATTCTTTTTGGCATTGGCATTTTCATTTATTGGTTTTTTAAAATTAGTATTACAATAGGACTTTTCCCATCAAACGAAGGCGGCTGCATTTAAAGTTTCACCTTACCATTCCAATCGAGTTTTTACATTTAAGAAACTATCACCAATAAACAATCACATACACGTCCAAATTTGTAAAATCTGGTTTTAAAAATTTTCAGAATTTATTTATAGTTTATTTTTAAACTAAAAATTTAATTTTATATTGAATTCTCGTATGAATTACACTTATTTTTACGTATTTTTCACTAATGTTTTACAGTAAGACCGATAATTAAAATATCATGATCAATCCATAGAAAAATTGTTATTTGATACATCTTTCATTTTTTTTTTTCTATATGAATGTGTATAAACAATAACATTTCGTAAAAGGAGTTTTATACGCCGAAAGCTTTGTACGCTAATGATTTTCTTCTGATAATTCAAACCGGCCAATACTTTTTAATGCAGTTATAATAATAATTTCTTTTGCCCAGTGCCTCTCAGGAATTTCTCTGATTCTATCGATAATTACAGGATGAGATATCATTCAACATAATCTAAGAGTGTTGAAAAAAATCATCGAAAGAGCTTCGAGTAACGAATAAAGTCGGCATTGCGAAAAATAGGAGACAACACGGACTTGAGGCAACGTAAAATGTGCTCTCACTTTTTCGTCGACAGATAGTCGGGCATTAATTTCTCCAGGTGCATCGTTGCCTCGATCCTCCTGGCGCTTTTCACGACCTTATCATCGAAGCCCATCCTCGATGCGAGCCGAGCCCTAAGGACCTCGTCAAAGTGTTTGGCGAATCTATAGCCACTCACGTAGTCGATGTCGTAATTATGGGCGAGTTTCGCGTCCCGGATGCGATTCTGCTGACTGGTCATTGGCCTCTGCTCCTTGCGTGGATTATAGATCCTACCGTTGTACATGTAGGTGACACGCTTAAAGCATTTTTCTGGTATTGTCGAGCGCGGCCTTGCAAAACCACTGTCGCTATCCTGACTATATTGGGTCGTATAGCCGGAGCTGCTTGAGGTCGTCCAAATTTTTTTACTGTATATGCCGGAGCTGCGTAGGGCAGAATTGTTTGATTTACAATTTGGTTATGGAATGCTGAGTAATTTATATATAAAAAAAAAAAAAAAAAAATTAGATCAGTGGAGGATGTTTTTTTATCTTATTTCACACTTGATTTCGTGAAATATCTTATTTTTTCCATTTTAAATTTTCATATTTACGTTATAAAAGCATGTTTATTGGTTACTTTGACGGCAATTCTGATCACTCATTGATTTATTTAAATGGACTAAAGAAATTTATAACTTTGGCTAGATTTTAAATTAAGATAGAGTTATGAGGCTCATATTATTGTAAGTTTAATATTTAATTTTCTTCGTATAATTGATGGCGTAAGTTAATGGCTGGTCTAATACTTTTTCTTCACCACGCAATCAGCCATATAATTACCCATTTATTATAAAATATATCTTTCCTATGCTAAATTCTACATACTATATGATTAATAATACATCCTTAAATTATATATAAAAATGTATAATAATTTAGCACAATGTAATAAGATGGATAAATTAATTACCGTGTCAAAAATCTGTCATCGGGGACGTTCATGATTTGATGATTATTATTTTTCATTTCGCTGTAAATGTTTCCATTAGAAATATCGGGCAATGACGTCGAACTGCGTACTGTATTGTTAATGTGCTTTTTACTAGGAATCGACTCGTATATAGATTCATTTTCGTTATATATATCATTCTGATATTCCGAACTTGCCGAGAAATCGACAATATCCGAGTCCAAGTCCTTTGTTGATGATAGTCTTTCTTTTTCTTCTAATCGCACATAACCTTAATATCATTAAACAGTATTGCATTAATATTTGTTTACTTAATTGATTAATATATAAATGTCCAAAAGGTAGGCAAATTTTCGATAAATAATAAAAAATAAAAAATAAAAGATAACAGTGCAAATTCTCAAATTAAAAGTTATATTTTTGCATAAATTTTGATTCAAATGAATGAATATTGAAATAACGTTATTAACTTATTATAACGAAACGACAGTTTTGTAACTACCGTAATTGCATAAATAAATATCAATAAGGCATCAAAAGAGGCATAATAATATTTGTACATTGAATATAAAATATAAAGACTTTTACATACCTTTATGAGCAGCTTCTTTGAGAATAAATATATATTCAATCGTACGTTCATTGACACTTGAGTAATGCATCGACTCATCCAGTTCTTTCACCAAGACATTTTCGAACATTAGATAAATCCTTATGGGCCTCAGTGGTTCAACGGTCGGTACATCATTATCAGATTTACAGTGAGAGCTGAATCTTATTCTATTAATGAAGTGTTCGCGTAATATGTCCGGCATCAGAACCGTCTTTTCTGGCAGTAATTTTTTATTCAGCTCATTTTCACGTACCTTTGTCTTTTTGTGCGCCTCTTCGATTTCCCTAGTAAAACACGTGGACTTCGTTTACCCACTGCTTTAGTGCTTAAGTTCAAGAATATATAAACTTCTTAATAGAAGGGACTGACTAAATGAAATCTGTTTTTATCAGAAATTTTATTAATTCTTTACGATTCCAAGTGACGAAAAAAAAAAAAAAAATAATAATAATAAATAATAAGCATACATTACTATTCATTCGTATTCGTCCAAACAATTACTTTTCACTATTTATTAAATCTTAAATTAAATTATCTTGTATCAAACGTTCTGTTTTTACGTACTTAAGGTTCCACTTCATATATTATATTTAATGTAATCATCAATATATGGTAGATTAACTACTTAATTAAACAAAAAATTCAATCTCAATAATCCATATAATAACATAGGAAGGTGATTTTGACAAAAATATTCAAAATATCTTATTATATTTCTTTTTATTTATATTTTTGAGAGATCAAGTTTTTTGAGAGAATAAAAAAGGAAGTGATATTTGAAGCAATTCATATCTCTTCTAAATACGGCTTAATAAATAAAGCGCAAATAAGTATCAATGCATTGATGATTATTATTAAAAATCAACAGTAATAATTATTGAACGTCAAAAATGATAAAATATTTGTAGACGTAATTATTAAATTTTATTGTATAGATATACGCATTATTGTATCAACCAACGTATTTTTTAATATACAATGTACACTTTTTGTTTATGATCAATTTTCATAAAGTTGAAATGACAGATTTGTATTATTTAAATTTTTTGCATTTAATATTACTGCATTACGTATGAACAAAAAACCATTTTCATTTCTCAGCATTGTCTTTGTTTTTTAAATAGAAACAATTTTTTAACTATTTTTTATGAACATATATTATTATTCTTTTTAAAATTATTGTCATAAACAATGTAGCATTGACTTTTTGTTATGGACACATATTAGAAACTACAGTTGGTATGGAAAAACGGTTTTTCATCAATTAAAGCAACATCTTATCTAAGTCACTTAAATAAACTTACTTTTCATAATGCGTAAATAACTGTATGGACATGATCAAATTGTTTAAGATGAAGATATTTGGTTTTTCCCTGATTAATGTTTTTAACGCCAATACTTCTTTGCACTCGATATATTCATTCACGTGAGTATTCAACTTCGTCGTTTTCTTCATCAATAACATTTCATTTCCTTTTAGGCTCGTTTGCTTTATTGGTTCAGTTTTTTTTACACCAAATTTTACACTCGAGTTCGCATTACCCATTTTCTTGTATTCCAAGACATAACACATTTACCGAAGCATAAACTTTATATAAAAACACACGCGCGCGCGCGCGCACACACACACACACACGGTTTAAACAGTGAATATCATGGTTTTGTATATAAACTTAGCTAATATTGAATAAATAATAATTTTAACTGCACTGACAATCCTGATCATTTTTCGTTAAGTTACGGACGTGGCGAACGTAGCTGATAAAATGCATTGATTTTGTTGCTGATGAATCGTCTATCAGCTTTACAATCAAACCGCTGTATAAAGTCAGTTCATTTAATTGGTTAGTATTTTATCGAATATGTGGTGGATAAAAGCTGAAGTTAACGTTTAAGTACGATTTAAAAGTATTTATATAAGATAGTAGAAAATAATGAAATGAGCGGTATATTATTATTTTAACATTCGTAAATCGTGTTCAAAATGAAAAAGTTTGCAAGTATTTATAAATAATTAAATTTTGAAGAAATGTATTGTTATTTAAAAATGCTTTAGATAGTAAAATTTCCGCCTTTTTCCTTTCTTTTTAATACTAGCAATAAAAAGAAATCTTTATATTTTGTTCTCAACTATTTAATTGTTTATTAAAAAATAAATCTGAAAAAGAATTTCATTAAAAATGTCAATATATTCAATATTAATTTCCGAAATATAACTAAAGTTTAAAGTGCTACGTTGTTTCTTACGAAATTCATCAAATGCTAATTCATCATTTCATTTATTTTTTAACAAATCATTACGAGTAAAAAAATTTCTTTAATATCTAAAAATAGAGTATTGTCTGAGATACGTGTAATTTTTATTTATTTATATTTACCATAATCGATAATCATACCATTGTGTAAAAACGCTAATAAGTGCAATTCAGTGCATAGTAGTGCATGGAATATGAACGAACTTCCGATGCTTATATTTAGTGATTTGAAAATAGATCGTATAATAGATCAATATATATATATATATATATATATATATATGAATTTATACTATAATTAAACATCTAAATGCTTTTCAATAATTACTTATTCAAAATAAAAAGGAAGAATTTAGTCTCATTAACCTATTTAAAATAATTAATATTTTATGTTGAACAAACTGGAAAATACTAGAGCCCATTGAAAACAGCTAATAAGATTTATATTTTAAAAATAAATAAAATATAGACCATTCCAATTTGGTATTTCCAAAGAAAAAATGTCACTTTCTATTATATATCCATAAAATAAAAAAACTTGTTTTAATTATACTTCTCGGATTTTTTCCACTGAAATTTAATTGCAATGAATGATCGACTAAAGTTGAAATAGTTTCACGAAGAAAGTTTATTTCAAAGTGATTAATTTTTTTTTTTTTTTTTTTTTTTTTTTTTTTTTTTTTTGCTATATCTGGATAGACGTTAATCTCTACAATTTGTACACATTATATAAATATGAATATGAGAATTAAAAATTTTGAAATTTCTGCTAAAATGCTACTGCCGTACAGCTTTTTGATACATTATTTATTTTTAAACGTATATTTCAATATTTCAATTCAAGCATACGTAAATCTGATTAATCTTAAATAAAACACTGTATCCCAGCGATTTTTATATAAATATTGAAAATTGTATGAAATTTGTTGCAATCATAAAATATTGAATTAAAACGGAAAAGTCATCAGTATTTATAAAGTAACGATTCTCGAAATATTCATTAACATTCGGAAAAAATACTTGATAAATATGCCATAAATATGCTTAGCAAGAGATATATAAGTAATAATCTAAGCTCCTAATCAAGAAATTATAAGATGTAAGCTAACAACTGGTAATGTGCTCGTTAAATGAGTAACAGGTGGAGCCAGTGCAATGGACATTCGAAGATGTGGTCGATAACGAGGACTCGAACCCTAGCGAGTTGCATAACCTCGCGGATTTTCTCTCAAAGAAGCACTTCGACCTGGTCATAAATCTGCCGATGCGCAACGGTGGTGCTCGTCGTGTCTCTAACTTTATGACTCATGGTTATCGAACTCGCAGACTTGCTGTCGACTATTCCGTTCCTCTCATCACCGATGTCAAGTGCGCCAAGCTCCTTGTCGAGGTATGCATACGTATTTAACTATATGAACCAATGCTTTTTTCTCTTGCTTTCCTAGGTTCATCGATTGCCCAAGGTTCAGCGGTTGAAAGATTATTGCTATATGAACATATAAATATCATTCGGTAATATATATTACTATTTCGTAACATATATTTTTGAATATTTGAGCGCAAGTATAAATATGATATATTTATACAGGTTTCGAATACACTACTTTCATATTAATATATTTATATTTTCATATTTTCATATTATTACCTTCAATTTGCAATATCAGTTATGATCCACTACGGGGCTTAACAAATTTAATAATTATATTAGCTTCAATTTGATTCGGATTAAAAAGCCTAAGCTATTAATAAATTAAATAGGTTAAAAAACCATTTGGTTTATTGTTATCTTGTCATATAACAAAGAGACTCTTTTTTTTTTTTTTTTTTTTTTTTTTTTTTTTTTTTTTTTTTTTTTTTTTTAATAATACATGCAGGATTTAGTATTACTTCTAAAAACCTTGAAATTATCTTATTAAGTTAGTCAATTATCAATCGATCATGAGTATTTTATTTTATCTAGATTGTAGGGAAGTATTGGTTTATTAATCCTCAACCACGAATGACATATGTTTATGGAAATTAGAACGTCCCCACGACTTGTCAACAACAAGAACAGTGGTTTACTAGTAGTTTCATTATATTATAATATTCATTATTTATACTGCTTGATAATAAAGTACGGTAAGCAATATTTTAGTTAATATTATGGAGTTTCGTTACCATTGTTATGTATAACCCTTATCTATATCAGTTCTTAAATGCAAGTGTAGGATTTTACGTTCTGAGTAAATTGATACGATAACTCGCATATAAAAATCAAATGTCTCGTAAGAAATATATGGCGTGCTAATCATCGATCAAAAAAAAAAAAAAAAAACTGAAACTACGGCGTGCACGAGCACATTTTCTTACGATCGTTCTTCTGCAGGCGATGCTAATGCTCGAGGGTAAAGCACCACGCATGAAGACGCACACGGACTGCATGACGTCGCGACGTCTTCTGAGGCTGCCTGGTTTCATCGACGTGCACGTGCACACGCGTGACCCCGGGGCCACCTACAAGGAGGATTTCGCCTCGTGCACGGCTGCGGCTCTCGCTGGTGGCATCACCATGATCATGGCCATGCCCAATACCAATCCACCCATCGTGGATGAGCAAGCTCTCCTAATCGCCAAAGAGGTAAGGGATAGATCGGCGCTAAATTCCTCATGCCAAAGAGAACTAGGAGGTTCAGCGAGGTTCATTTAAACACTTAAATGTTCGACTGTCTTTGTTTGTTAATATTCGAAATGAATCATTTTCATAGAAGAGTAGCGACGTGTGAATCCTGATTTCAAGCTCATAATAATAACACCCGCGAATCATTATTACGGTTAATTTCAATATTAACATCTTCTAGTATATACTAATTGAATTCTCAGATGCTTATGCTTTAGTGTTATCTAAGAACTAATATCTTCTGATATATTTTTTAAAATTCTTTACATTATACTGAATATTATAAAAAATTATTAGAACAGTTCTAAAAACATCAAAGTCCACTGCCATTACGAAATACACATGCCGGCTATTAAAAAAGTTTAAAAGTTTTGCACATACACCCCCCTCTCTCCTTACACGCGCACGCGCACGCACACGCACACGCACGCACGCACACGCACGCACACGCACACACACGCGCACACATGTATATATATATATATATATATATATATATTCATTTATTATAGCGAGCAAAATTTGGTGCACGTTGCGATTATGCTCTGTTTGCTGGTGCCTCTTCCGAGAACTACGGGACAATCGCAGAAATCGCTCCAATGACGGCCGGCCTTAAGATGTACCTTAACGAGACATTTACAACTCTACGACTCAACGACCTGACGGTCTGGATTAAGGTTCGTGATACTGAACAATTAATCACATTAGTTGCCGTAACGTTTTTCTTTTTGCCTTTGAGGCGCTCGATCGATTAATTGTCAGCGAAACGATTTATCGGTTACAAAAAGATTTCCTTACCTTACGTATCGTTATATGACAAGTGCTACATCGCTTTTCACTTAATGCCACGAATATGACGATGTTTCATCCCTTTAAAGATCTTTCGACTCTTAAATTACTTTGTAATAGAATAAAGTGACATGTTATTCGTGATTAAAGACTGATTGAATGAGAATTGTTTTCGAATGCAAGTCTCTAATTGAACGACTAAAGTGGACGATTTCATCAGCGTTCTCTCACGATTATCTTTCTAGCACTTTGAAAACTGGCCACATAAGTATCCAATTTGCGTGCATGCCGAAGGTCAAACCACCGCTGCCGTTTTACTGTTGGCTAATTTGCATAATAGACCCATTCATGTGTGTCATGTTGCCCGGAAAGAGGAGATTCAGATTATTCGTGCAGCCAAGGAGAAGGTATAAAGAAATTTGTTGATTTTTGCGTAAATTTATCAAATTTATTTAGAATTTGAAGAAGTCATTTAGTTATTCATAAAATTTATTCGAGATAAATTAAAGACAGTGTTAGAAATTATGTAATTTACTTTTGATAGCATTTGTTTTTTGTGCTATTATTTTTTCAAATTTTCCAGTCTTTAATTTGGATTAAACATTTTTAGAACCTGCCCGTGACGTGCGAAGTTTGCCCTCATCATTTATTCCTCGTACAAGAAGATTTGGATAGAATTGGTCATAACTATGGACAAGTAAGGCCAACGTTGGGGACCAAGGAAGATGTACAAGCACTTTGGGACAATATGGATGTCATCGATATATTTGCCACAGATCACGGTAATTTCAATTACTTTTTTTCATTTCAAAATATTTTAATATAAGGAATATATCGATGATTTTGACGTGCAATGCACATGTGCAAATCACGTAAATAACTATAATCTGCACACAGCTGTGGTATATGTAGTTTTTTTTTTTTTTTTTTTTTTTTTTTTTTTTTTTTGATGTATGAATGTATGAAATGGGTTATTATTGAATCAGTCAATATATCTGAAAGTAGAAATATGTAAATAAAGTTTTCTCAACGTTTACTAATAATCATACTCAAAAAGTTTTTACAATTTCAAAAAATAAATTTTAAATCTTTTCTAAATAGTTGAAAATATTCATTAATAAACTTAATCATAAAATATCAAAATTGTAATAATTCATTCGCCCCTTTTATTAATAATGATAAAAGTAGATTTGGATAACGTGATTTTAAATTAATTTACCGATAAAGTTTATTTAATTTAAAGATAATTGGCTTAATAACTTGACACAGATTTTTAATCAAGTTACCAGTTAATATACCATATCTAATTTTAAAATATGGATACTAAAATATTTGAACTGATAACTGATATAAATGTACTGTTAGCTACATTTATTAATGAAATAAATATCTTTGTTTAAATATTTAATAATATAAGTATATCGTAAAAAGACAAATATATATTTCTCCTATGATCGTATAATTACATTGCTTACGATGCTTATGATCAATTAATTGCTTAATATTAATTTATTTATCGCAATATAAAAATTGCGAAAAATAATTTGAGAATTTTACTACTATTGTAAGATTATGGGAAGATGATTGTCGGAAGCATTTTATTTAACTTTCTAACGTTATTGATATAACTAGAAGTACATAGTGACTGTAAGCAGAACTTTTTAAGGATACATTGAGTATACGAGAAATTGACGTGAGTATAAGATTAGTAAATTCCATTGAAGATAATTATTATGTGTCAGAGTTTTATAGACTTTCATATTTATATATAAATCAAATTTTTAACAGCGGTCTTACATAAATTATAATGTATTTATTAAGAATACCGATTAATATATTCCTAGTTTTTATTTCATAGCTAATAAAACAATTTTTATTGAGTAACTTCGCATAGATTTGGGCTAAATGTTGCTTAATGCTTGATGATCAAACTCGAATTATTAAAAGTTAACTTTGTTTTAAAGTATATATACGAAATCAGTAAAATACTATCAATATACCTTCAATAACCTTATTGATTTATAAATTTACGATAATAATGTCGTTTGTGGTTAGCGTGAAAAAGGTTGATTTTTGTTCCATGTTCTTTGTTACTTTAATTTGAGAAATGTCTTTCTAAATTTTTCTAATATATGAAGTAGGAGATAAGATAAAATAAAGATGTGGAACACGTTTTTTTAAAGTCACGAATTTGCATTGCTGCGTGAAAGTGAAAAAGAGAAAAAATAAGAAGAACAAGAAGAGAGAGAGAGAGAGAGAGAGAGAGAGAGAGAGAGAGAGAGCGAAAGGGGGTTTTTGTGTAAAAGTTCTATAAAAGTGAAACAATTATTAATAAATTAGATGATAATCAATTAATATAAAAAAACGTTTGCACAAACGTGAAACTTAATTATATTTATTAGTCTTTTTTTTTGTTTTTGTTTTTTTTTAATATATTCCATATCAATAAATACTTTATTTTACATTTTACAATCAAGTTTATAAAGATATTTGTGATTCCAGCGCCGCATACAGTGATAGAAAAATCTCGAATGTCGCCGCCATCACTGCCTGGATTTCCTGGACTCGAAACAATTCTGCCGCTCCTCTTAAATGCTGTTAACGAAGGCAAACTCGAAATAGACGTCAGTGTTCTATCACATATTATTAATTGTAAAGAGAGCTTAAATTATTTAAATGTTAGTTACGGATAATTACAAAGTAGGCAATTCAGATGATAATACAGCTTTTTTCGTGTTTTTACCTAAATTTGAATTTTTCAAAAACATTTGAGTATCATAGTCTTTTCAAGATTATAAATTAATTTTAATAATGAATTATGAAATATGTAGAAAAAAACTTTGCGAGAGAAATAAGATTATGAGAAAAAATAATGCCTGCAAGTAAAAAGATTTTTTTTTTTTTTTTTTGTTGTTGTAAAAAAACTTGGACAATGCTAAAGTATCTTAAATTATTTTACCAGTCGAAAGAGGAAAAGCTATTTTGCAAACGTTTAAAATTTATAAATATTTTCAGTATGTTTTGTAATTATTCGTGAAGTGGTTAGAAATTGATTAAAATTTTTATTGAAATTTTATATAAAATAACGCTTTAAGATATATTGTAGCATAATGAATGGATTATGTATGGCATTTCAGGACTTGATCGAAAAATTCTACCGAAATCCAAAGCGGATTTTCAATCTTCCTGAACAGCCAAACACCTACGTTGAGGTTGATCTCGATGAAGAGTGGATAATACCGCAGGCAATGACGTTTACAAAATCAAAGTGGACTCCTTTCGCTGGTATGAAGATTCGCGGCTCGATACATCGAGTTGTACTTAGAGGTGAGGTCGCGTATATCGATGGTCAGGTGTTAGTTAATCCAGGCTTTGGCCAAGATGTCAGAGAATCCCAGAGAAAGAGCAAATTTGTAGCGCCGACCGTTCATCCGCCTACCGTTGAGATCACTAGCAGGCCAAATTCTGCCTTGGAAGGTCTAATTTCACCACTTAATAAGAAAGCCACATATGATAAAAATTTTGAAAATGACGATGAACCAATTGGTTAGTGTGATTTTGTATTTTTTCAAACACATTTTTGTTTTGAAAAATATATATATATATATATATATATAATAATAATAATAATGTTACAGATGCTTTTGGCCATTTAGTTAATTCCGCGTCGAAATCCGTGGTTCATTTTGCCCCAGACCATAATTCCGTACAGCGGACCATTTCGCCTCTACCATTTACTAGCGGCACTCGACATAAAAGTGATAGCAATTCGAATCTATTCGTTCAGTCGGGCGTTCAATCAACTCTTCAACCTCTAAATCATGGTCTCTTTGGCCATCATATTCTTTCAGTTGAAATGTTCAAGAAAGAGCAATTGAAAGATATCTTCGATATTGCTCACGATTTGCGAAAAAGTATATTAGCGGACAGGTCATTGGATCTTATTCTCAGAGTATAAATTAGTCTTATATTTTTATTCATTTATAAATATAAATTCATTCATTAAAATAAATAAATAAATAAATAAATAATAGTAGTAATAAAATAACTGCGTGTGCTTTAATAGGGTAAAGTGATGGCATCGATGTTTTACGAAGTTAGTACGAGAACATCGTGCAGTTTCGATGCTGCCATGCAAAGACTCGGTGGACGAGTTATTCATATGGACGAAGTGAAATCATCTGTTAAAAAAGGAGAGACGCTCGAAGGTAGTGCATTAAAAAAACAATGGTAGATGTGGTGTGTGACTGATAAAAGAAAATACAGTATGAGATGGTAAACTTTCCGTAATTTCGAATTTTAGACTCCGTCGCTGTCATGGCCTGTTACGCCGATGTTGTTGTTCTTCGACATTCGAAGCACGGCGCCGTTAATGTAAGTGATTATTTTTGTAACATCGATAGCTTATAAAGTGAGATCTGTAAGTACGAAGGAATATATTTAAATGTATTAAATTTAATAGAGAGCAGCTGTACGTTGTCGAAAGCCATTAATCAATGCGGGTGATGGAGTAGGTGAACATCCGACTCAAGCTTTATTGGATGTTTTTACTATTCGTGAGGAAATGGGTACGGTAAGGGGTCTTACTATAACTATGGTTGGCGACCTAAAACATGGAAGAACCGTGCATTCTTTAGCCAGGTTTGTCCTATTTTTTTATTTCATCAAGCACATCACATAATAGATAATAATCGTTATTATATTCAAGGATTTCAATTGCTTTCTATACAATCAAATTTATTAATATAATTAATATAATTGATACTAATCGTTATTATATTCAAGGATTTAAACTACTTTTTATACAATCAAATATACAATCAGAGACACTAATCTCGATTGTACATATTGATTTTCTCTATTAAACAGACAACCTTATGTCACTGAATGAAATATTTCATAAAGTCTACCAATTGCCCATTTTTATTTATTTACTTTGTAATTCTTTGTGTAATTCTTAGTCATTAAAAAAAAAAAAAAAAAAAAAAAAAACATACTCATTCCTATAAGATATTTAATATCTTTTATACTCTAAGTTATATAATGCCATTTCTAATAATACAAAATAAACAGAATTTTTTGAAAATCTTGATATTGTGTTGAAAAATGAATTATTGATATTAATTTCTTACAATTTATTTATTTATTTGTGCTAATTTAATTGATGCTGAAGAATTCATTAATAAATTTAATTATCTTTTATACTCTAAGTTATATAATGCCATTTCTAATAATATAAAATAAACAGAATTTCTTGGGAATGTTGATATTGGGTTGAAAAATATATTATTTCTATTAATTAGTGACAATTTATTCGTAAGCACACGTTTATGCTGTGTTTTAAAATTTAGTCTAATTATTTGTAATGCCATATCATTATTGATATATAAATGATAAATATGTAAAGGAGAGATATTTGAATATATAATTCTGATTCTTACTTGTTATTGAGAATGTATATATATAAACGTAGATTGACCGCTACATTTTTAATTAATTATTATTCATGAAAGTACTGTATTAAAACACCACAACATATATTACGTATAACATGACTATGGTAGTGCATAATACATGTTCTATTATTATTTTTAAATGTTAGCCCATTTAAATAATGGCATAAAATTTACTTATCGATGAATTTTAAATTGTAATAAATATTATATAAATAAATTACGAAGTCAGGGAATAAAAGATAAATATTTATAAATGTCGTGACTTTGCATTCGAAAGGCTATTGGCATTGTATGAAAACGTTCAGTTACGCTACGTCAGTCCGCCGAATTTGGAAATGCCAGATGACATTATAGAATATGTGGCTAGTAAAGGCATCCCCCAAGAGAAATTTAATAGACTCGAAGATGTTTTAGCGGAAACTGATATCTTGTATATGACTAGAATTCAACGTGAACGATTTAGCACTCAAGAGGAATATGATAAGGTAAAATTTTCTTATTTTTTTCTCTTTTATATATATATATATATATATTTAATTAATTTTCATAAGAGTTCAATTTTTATTTATTTATCTCTAAGAACTTTGGTAATATAAATTTTTTTCATAATATTTATTATATTAAATATTATAATATTATAAATATAAATATATTTACAGAGTTTTTGTTACTTTTATTTAATGCCTACTTTAAAATAAAATAACACGAGCTTCAATTTTTGAAACTGCTTAAAAATATTACTCTCCTTTTTCGTATTTTTCTTTATGGATTTATTAGAAACATAATTTAATAATTTTAACGCGTTTAATACCGACTATTATGTAGAAATGTAACGAAAAAATATATATTTTTTCGTTAATTCTTAATTTTAATTCTTAATTTCTGGTTTAATTCTTAATTTTGTTTCGATAAACGTATTATTTAATGCTTTTGAAATAAAGAATAGTATGTACTCTGAATGTAATGTTAAAAAAGAAGAGATACAGAGAGAGAGAGAGAGAGAGAGAGAGAGAGAGAGATAGAGAGAGAGAGAATACTTTACCCTTTGTCAATTTATCTTTTGGGATACATTCATTTAAGAAAAGCTAGTGAAGACATTGACACCATAGAGTCAATTCGCGCGATTATCGAAGTAGCCAAGAGATGTGGGCTGAAGTGAAAGGTCGGCCTCCCCCCTTCCTTCCTCGCAGTCTCGGGTCACGAGATGACTGCCAAATAAATTGCACGCGATTCATGTTGTTTGCATTGGTCACAGGCATGCGGACACTTTGTGGTGACGCCGCAGCTGATGACGCGCGCCAAGAACAAGATGCGCGTGATGCACCCGCTACCGCGTGTCTTCGAGATCAGCCCCGAGTTCGACAACGATCCCCGGGCGGCTTACTTCCGCCAGGCAGAAAACGGTATGTACGTGCGGATGGCCTTACTCGCCATGGTCCTCGGCCGTTGCTGATCGAGATCGGTTAACATGGACTTGTGGCCTTCCACTGCACGTTCAAGTTTTGCGGTGGAGCTCTTCGGCCGAGCCCGCATAACTGAAAGTTAGCCTCATCCGCGGCTCCAAGGGGAATGCTCTACGTGACTGGCTTTTCAAAAATTTCTACCACGGACTGGAGTCCGATCGATTGTAATTTCAGGCGATTGCGCTTGTATTTTTTTTTAGGTCAAGTCCGTTCAAATTTAGTTTTATGTAAGATTATTGGGTTTAATATTTTCAATTGCTTATGGTTATTGGTATATTTTTAAATATATGATTACCTCTTCATAAAAAAAAAAAATATATGAAAGATGAATGAATGTGATAATGATGATGAATCTTCGATTCGTTGAATATTCAGAATCGATCTATCTAATTTTATAAAAAGATTCAAGACCAGTAATATATACATCAAACATTCCATCACTAATACCACATTTGACGTAGGTTATGAATTTTAGCTCAATTGTCTAAATTAATTAGTAATTTTTATATTATTCTTTTTTATGATAGTAATTTTACTTGAACAAAGACGTGTATAGGAACGTGAAAATAAATAAACTTTGTACTATCAAATCAGACGAGAGGGATTAAATATGCGCAGAACATTAATTATAACCACAAGCGTAATCATTGTTTTAGAATAAAATATTTTATACCATTTTTTAAAGCATTTCTGTACAGTTTATTGATTGTTAGTTACTGACGTGTGGTTACGAGATCTTTTTTTCTAGTACATATAACGCGCGCGCACGCACACACACACACACACGCGCACACGTACATATAAAAGTGATGCTAAGTGAAAAAAAATGCAATATGAACAAACACATCACTCGATACATTGTCAATTGTTTTATACTTAAATTTATTAATCATGCGTATTGATTTTTTTTTACCGATTATTAAGTTAAAATATCTTATAAAGCCCTAAGTCCAAATTATTATGACTAGAAATCATATGCACACTTTATGATGGGGACTTCAATATATTGATAAACTATTGTTACTCATTTAATTAATAAATATGAATGAAATTCTTATTTCTAACAAGAAAATACAACGTTTAAACGAAATTAGAGAGAATACTTATCGGCGTATATGTACGCACATTATTGATAATGTGTATGATTTTGTATTAAGTTTTTTATAAAAATAATAAAAAAAATCAACAATATATGAATAATAAAAAATTGACTGAGTTAAGCGTTAATTAATGATTTAAAAAGTTTAAATAGAGCGTATGAATGATAGATGTATATTCAATATTTTTATTAAAAATAATAACAACCGGATTATCGAGTCTCTTTAATGTAGAGTTTTGTATTACACATGAGATAGGGACTTCGTGGAAAATTAATTGATAGTTCATCAGTAGGCAAATAAATATATACAGCATTAATTTTTAAATATATAAGTACAAATTTATTGTAATTTATAAAAATTATTTTAATGACAGGTGATCAAAGTACATTAAAGTCTTATGATTCTTAGTGGCCAAAAAAATAAATAAACACACATTATAGTGGCAACCAAATTTTATTTAATAATTTTTTCATAATTGCTTGATTATAAAATTATGAAAAAATTGTAATTAAGAAATTGTTCGTATAATGTAATAACAATGTTGCGGTAAATAATAAAACCGCTGTACAATATGAAGTTTAATATTTTCAGTAAACATATTGAGTATATCGTACAACAACTCTATAGTCTGATATGGATTTTAATGTTATTTTAACGGTAATTTAATATATACTTATGCTTATAATACTGAAGTATATCTCATTCAGATGCATTAAAAATAAATTAATGTGTGACATTTATTCCGTTAAAAATAATCATCCACTGCTAAGTATATATATACATATATATATATATATATATATTATATGCATTCAAATGGCAGTCTCTTTTGCGAAGAAATTAATTACAAATCTTATCACATTGTCATTTATATTATTAATTGTAAAAGTCTATTTTTTATTTGCAGTCGGCAATTGAATCAATATAACAACTACGTATCTAATCTAATTCTGAATTTTTGACAAATATTCATAGAAAATTAGAATTTGTTGTTCAAATAATAATGCATACAGTAGAAAATATTGCAATTTTTATTACTAACCTTTATTTTTACAAAGCGTTTACAAAATCTTTATGAACACATTGTGAAATTTGAGCTGAAAGCAGTGATTTAAAAAGAAATAAAACAGCAACGACGATGATAAATCTAATTATTAAAAAAAAAAAAAAAAAAATGAAATAAATAAATAAAAAATGTCGTTAGATAATAATTTTACATTATTAATATTAGTTAGTATTCTTGTAAACAAAATTATACTTCAAGTTAAAATTGAATTTAAATATTGGTTACCTTTTAAGCGCAGTAGATATTAAAATTAACTACTGTTTGGCAGACTTGAAAAGAATATTTTATTCGAAAGTGTGTTAAGAATGCCATGGAGGAATATTAAATTAAGCATACATAGGAGAATATTTTATTTTATAGTACGTAGAATTCGAAGAAGCGTTTGTATAAATAAATAATGCTTATTAGTTATACATCCAAATTATCAAATAATTGCCATCTTTCGATTTAAGCAAGTATGCCCAGTGGATTTCATTGCACATCTTAGTACAATATTCATAATAAAAAAAAAAAAAAAAAGAAAGAAAATAAAAACAAAATAAGAAAAAGAAAAAAACGAAAAATCCAAATTTTTATTGAACAATAGACTCCTGACTTTGTAAAAATGTTTATTGAATTGTCGATAATTTATTATGACATTTCATTTCGCAAATTCCTCTCTCTAGTCTTGGTCTCCTCCTCCTCCCCATCCCACTTTACCTAACAAATCTTAATAACCATTATCCGTATGAAAGAGCTTTGAGTTCGAGTGCGCGAAGGGCGCGATAAAGACAATCCCCTCGGATAATAAATCCTTGCGTGGAGCACGGACAGAAGCTTCGTGCTCGCGACAATGGTCGTAAGGATCTACGTACGACAGTAAGGCAGTAAGGCATGAGCTTTGGAAAATCCCTCTGAAAAGCAAATGAACTTGGTGTGCTGCGGATCGCGGACCCTCGTGGCCAATACACAAGTTGCAAGTGGATCACCTCGTTACCCGCCAAAATCCCGTTGCTGCATCGTCAACGCGAGCTCGTACATACAGCCGCGGCCCTGCATCCTTAATCGCTGAGAGGGAGTGTGCGGTGCTGAGTGGCGTTGCCCCAGCTCGTTGCTGGGGGAGAGGGAGAGAAGAAATCGCACGCAAGCAACGCACGTCCCCTTGGTTCGATTGCAGCGGCTGACGTCATAAAACAGACAAGCCCTCGTTGGTCGTCGAGGAGTTTCCGCTTGGGCGACGTGTCCGCGGGCACGTAAGCACCCGGGGCCTCTCAGACGATGACGTCCACGCAGCACGTGGACGCGTACTCGCTTGCTCCGTTCGGGCACATGTCAGCGGCAAGGCACTTGGAGTCCTCGCGCCTTGTTCCCGTGCGCTGCTGGCGTTGTGCCCGACCCAGAGGCGGCATCTTCAGTCGGAGCCGCTTCCGCTTGCTCGTTGCGCCCACCTTCTTCCTGAACAACATAAATGGTGAGAGTGAGAGAGTGAGAGGGAGGGAGCGAAGGAGGGGGATATGCGCTGGCCGTTGGTGAGAAATATGCTGGGATTGAGTCGCGATTGCGATTTATGGATAGAGGGAGGAAGCCATCTCTTCCGAGAAGCTTAGTCATTAGGATTGCTTGTCGAAATAAATGTACGTCGTGCGCGTGCCGAATGCTCTCTGGTACTTGGAAAGGGAACGCTCGCTCGCTTCGTTCGGAAAAATCACGTATTTATCAAATGTATTTGAGCCTGGGCGTTTATGCCTGATTAATTGAAATAGTTATAATCAGAGTAAGCGCGGCACTTGTTTTCGTTACAGCCGAGCAAGTCGTCATCGATAAATAATGAGAACAGACACGGGAGCCAAGTTTAATAGATGTGTTTTTTTACGGCGATTGCACCTTCTTTATCTTAGCGACGTAATTAAATTGCTGTACTTTAATTTGGACACGAAAATATGAACATTTCGTCCACCGGTTATATTGATAATAATAGTAGTAATTTATAACAATGTAGATAAAGAATGAGTGGTGTGAGAATTTTTAATCAGGCTTTTAAATTTTTAATTTTATTTAAAATTAAATTTTAAATAGAAAGCGTTAAAAAATTTGCGAAATTCTATGGATATCACAATAGAGCTCAAGTTATAAAGTAAATTATATCTATATTATGTGTTGTTGATCTAGAAGAGTTAAAGTCATTTTTACGTTTATGCATACATATCTGCAAGCTTCCAACGTTTTTCATCGAAGATTATTTTTCAATTTTTAGTTTTACATAGATATTTTGTATTAATGTATATACGCAAAACCGTAGTACGATCTCATTTTTTCACACTCGCCGTTGTAATTGTAAATTTTTATTTGGAACATTTGGTAAAAAGATCGTACTGATTGATACCCTTCTTTCTTAAACCTTATAAACAAAATTCATTATTTACCATTAATAAATTCATATATTATAATAAAATGCACGTAAGCGTTTTTTTTTCTTCCTTAAGTAAATTTTACAGTAAAAAGTTTCGGATAAAATTATGAAGAAAAAAACTCACTGAGTTCTGCAGTCGATAAAGAGACCCATGGAGAACAGAAAAATTATGGCGGCCAAAATACCTATAACTACAACGACCAATGTGACTATCGTATCTTCCTCTTCTGGTGTTAATGTCATTTCTGTCGTGGACCAAGTGACTTCCTCTGACACTGAAATACAGAGATCATTGATTTAGTAAAACTTTATAAATATAATAAGCTTCAAGTATTATTAAATTATCCAATTGAAGTACATCAATTGCTATTAGTTTTCATTATTATTATTATTATTATTATTATTGAAATAGTAATAAAGTTTAAATATATATATCGGTATATTTAAGATTGTATAAATATAGTCTAATAACAGCAATTTCTCTACGGATTTTAAATTTATCTATAAACATTAACTTCAATTAATAAAGAAAGAAGATAATACGTACAGTATTTAGAGTGATTTGAATAAATAATGATTTAAGAATGGTAAGCTAATCAACCTATTCAGACATTCCACTGACTATAGTTTTAAAAATCCTAAATAATTCAACATATTTATAGCATTTGATGTAAGGAATATATGCAAGAGAACTTTTTTTTTTTATTATGATAATTATATTTCGTTTTTTAATATTAATTCTATTTTTATTAAATTTTTAGAATTATGATTATAATGATAATTCCTCCGAGATATTGAATTCTTATTATTTATATCTCTTTTTTCACTATTCAATTACTTCGATGAATCTTATGACTTAGATTTAAGATGAATTTCAACTGTGTTAACCTTTATGCATTTATCCGAAATATGAATAATTGCATTTGAATGCATTCATAAATAATTTGTTCTTATTTAAAGATCCTTTAAATAATTTAGAGTTGTTTCCGTTGTAATGAATTCAATTTAATTATTTTTTACTTTATTAATTTTCGACTTCCACAGAGAAAATATTATTTATATATATATATATATATATATATATTATTTTATATTAATTATACTTTAAGATTTAAGGGTAGTTCATTAATTTTTTATTTATACACGAATTAAACAAAAAGGAATATAATGTTGAAATATTTTATGAACTTCATAAGCGTGCTTCATCAACAATTCGTTTAATCAGTGGAAAACCAATGAAGCGTGTAAATCGGAAAATCGTCAAATTTTATACACATATGTATAAATGTAAAAACACTTATCAATTATCTTGTGATTAAATGTTAATAAAATATTTTGAAATTATTAAGTTGATCTCATTATTATCAAGTTTATTTTATTATCTAGTTTAAAAAAAATTTCTATTAAAATACATTCAGTTTAATCGTGTCATTTCAAATTCAAAAACTAAATTTTTGCGTTTAATTAATGTTAATCGATTGTAAAAGTTATAATATACAATCTAATACTTGCGATTTATTTATAATGCTTGTAATTTTTATGACAAATATCAATTTTTTTTTTTTTTTTGAAATTTTAAATTTATAATTGAGATATTAAGTAAATTTTCAAAAGTCATGTTTTCAAGAAGTGCACTGATTAAAGAAGAAACAAAAACGAAAACATTTAAAATATCGGAGTATCATTTGAAATTATGATGAATATGAAATTTTCGGAATTTTCGCTCACATTGCGTGTCAAAATTTTTTGATACATTTACTTTAATTGAAAAAATATTTGATTATTCGTGAATAAAAGTAGGAATTTTATAAAAATAAATTATCAATGAAAAACAAAATATTCCCTTTCACTGAATAAATTTAATAACTTATGTGTCCTGTCTTAATCTATTTGCCTTATAATATATTTGGCATTTCATATTGTGTCTTTATTATCGATTATATATTGCTTGTCATATTAGCCAAAATCGTAAAATATGGTGATTAAAAAATCTTGAAACATAGAATTTTATTTATTAAAATATATGGCCTATTAAACAGCTGTATGATAATATTTAAAAATTTTATATTGAAATTGAGTTAAATGAAAATTTTTTTATTTTTTTGTGGATAATTATTAACGAATAATTATTGGTATTAATGTTCATTTTAATCAACTATATTAATTTAAACGAATTACATTATTTCATCTAAATATATTTTTACTATCGGTGAAACTACAAATCATTCTGGAGACGATGATCACATGAATTCTGAAAATGGACTATTTAGCTTATTAGGAAGTTAGTTAGCTACTCATTATTACAAATTAAAAACGAAATTACTACTTTACATAATTCTTAACTTAACGCGATATTTTCAGTGCATGTTACATCATTAAATAATTAGAAGTATACTGTATTTACTTGTCTAGATATATTGTAAATCTTTTTCACAGTTGCGTCTGATAAGTTTTTTGACTGTTTCAAGATGAAAGATTGAATAAATAATAAAATAATATATTTGAATTATTGTAGTTACCAGTATTACTTTATTTATACTTTTAAATAAATACGTATGAAGATAAATTGAAGATATTTAATAATAAATGATGCTTTTATATTAGAAGTTTAAATAAATATAAAAACTAAGAAGAAAAACTTAACGAGAGATATTAAGATCTTTGAGGAAAATGCATCCTTTCAAGTGCTGAGAACAAAATGTCAAAATAGATATCGATTTATTGAACAAAGATATGAAGTACTTGACATTATCTTACAAAATAAAAGCACAGACTATCATAAATTTCTAATAAAATAAGCTACTAACAATATACTATAATTATATAACATTATGTACCTGCACATTAAATTAATTTTTTCCGTTTTTTTTTTCTTCAAATGATTAAAAGTGAAATATTTCCATTATATATAATGTATGAATAATACATTACGATTCAAATAAAATAATTAGAATTTAAAATTCATATGCGTGCATCGTTATTATAAATCGTTAATCATAAAAAAAAAATCGTTATTCCGTTTTATTTCATATAAAAAGTTATTTGTATGTTCTCAAGCCACATTTTCATTTGTTGAATATTAAAATTGTAGCTTCAAATATATAATTTATTAATATTACTTTGAAAAAATTTATACACAATTTTTAGCAAAGTTGAATAAAATTTCAATTGTTGCCGAAATCCATATGACGCAACAGTACATTTCTTACAACGACCTAGATAAATGATTGATGTCGCAAATATTTCATTGTGACGTCTATAATCACGTGAATGTCCAACGTCATATTAAATGTCGATAAAACCTATAAAGATAGTAAAATTTTCTCGATTATTTGAATTGTTTTAATCTGCGTCGTTACTTCGGCTTTTTTGAATTCGTGAAATCACCTAATTTCTAATAACATCGTCTTTTCAGATTAACTATCTTTAACTATATTTTAGCCGTAAAACGTCGTTTCCACTAACAATATCTTCAATGTCTTAGTTTGGAAGACGAGAATTATAAATCTAAAAAGGTGAATTTTAATTATATATATTTTGAGTTGTGTTTGAATTTAAAATGTAATTCTCCATTATAATTCTATTAAATGTTGATATTGTAAGTGAAAAGATTTTACAGATTTATTTGAATTAATTTTTTTAAAAAAAAAGCCATTCATATTTTTGTAAGTTAAGAAAGTATAATATTAACAATAGTAAGATATAAATATATGATATTAGATAACAAACAATTTAATATAATAAACAAGAAATAAATAAATAAATAACAATATATTAAATTAAATTTTAAATGATTTTTTTTTTTTAAATGAAAAATTCACTTTTATATGAATAATATATTAAAATTGGATAAATAAAAATATAATAAATATAAAAAAAAAAGTATAAAAGGTTCGATATTAAAATTCGTATTAATGATAGTTTATAATGACATGAATATTACTCATATATGTTTGTTGAAATCTAAACCGTTAAAATATGCGAACAAAATAAGATAATTTTGAATAAAAACATTGAAATACGTTTTATAAAATTATCGTAGTAGGCTTTTTTTAGTATAATGTTACAACTATCATAAAATATTAACTATCTAATACTAATAAATAAAAGAAACTATATCCGGCTAGAGCTTGAAATTTTTATAGACAAAAAAATCATAAATATTTTCGTGCATTTAATTTTTCCGAGTTTAGTTAACCGATATTTAAACCGAGAATTTCTATTTCAACATAACAATTCAAATTAATTATCAAATGTACAAATCAAACATTTCATAAACCATGAATAAATATGATAGATAATATTAATACCAAACAGTCAGTACTATTTTTACTTTTATCAAGGCAATATATAATTACTTTTACTGAAACATTTTTCTCAATTATAATACATATTTTTTCAAAATAAAACTGTTATTGAACAATATTCTGCTACATTTTGTAAATTTTATAGTAAGTAGAGAAATGATTAGAAAAATTGCAATTTGATTTTCACAGAGAACGCTGATTCATTTGATTACTTTTTTGTTTTTATTTTTAATAAATATTTATGTTAATATCTTTGAATGTTAAATATAATTTTCATAAAAGATAATTGATTTTCTTTCATTTTCTAATTTTTCGTCAAAATTCTTTTATATTGAGCGTGAATGAGAGAGCGCAATGAGCAAAATTTTACATGTAAAAATGATGATTCACAAAAATTATTTATATAAATAGACGAGGTAATTAGTGAAGAAATTTCGAAGATTGTAAAAAGACAATAAATATAAGAATACACATAATATGAACGTAAATTTATGAAGCTTTAGTTAATAACTCAATGTTACTTGTATAACTTACAATAAACAATACTTTCTCAAATATGTTGACTATTACATGGAGATTCTTGTTTCGTGAGTTTTTAAATTCCAATAACGATTACATACTTTATTTAAATGAAATACAGTTCAGAACAAAAAAGAAAACTGTAATGCAAAATATTTTTCTTTCATTGTGTCATGCTTGCATTAAATTAACAAAATACTCGAAATAAGCGAGTACAAATTTATATAAAACATTTGCGAACATTGTGGAAGATGTAGTATTAAAATATTACAAAAGTTCGATAGACATGCTAGTTAAATTAGTAAAACGATTGTGAATTTTATACTCAGGAAAGTAGTGGAATAAATGACTGATAGATGTTTGTTAGTAAATTTTTTTTTGAACGCTGAAATTCTTCGAAGATTTTAAGATTTAAATAACATTCACAATGATAAATATGTAAAGATGTAATTTTGAAGAAATTATTACGAGGGAATATAAGTAAATCCTCTTCGACTCTCTATATTCATCGTTAAAATAAATAAAAGAAAGGATATCTCAATTTCACCATAATTAAAATACCAATAAAAATGAGACTGAGACAGAAAATATGTATTATTCTGTACGCGGCTCGTTTGATCTTCGAGACGCTCGAGAACACGATTAGTCTTCGCTGGTTACAAATGATTATAAATAGGAAAAGGCGGGGAAGTAGCGTTGCACGCGATTAAATGAATGTTGTGCGCCATTTGTTTAAAGGGTCGGATGATTATAATGATAAGTATGATTGAGTTTGCGCTCTCCCAGATTTACCGCAACTCAATCCTTAAATTGACCAATACGCTGTGATACTCTAGAAACTGAAATAATTTAAATTCTCTTAAGCATTAGTATAGATATTTCATAGATGTTCAAGGCTATTGTAATTTTTTTCAATGATCGAAGAGATTATTTTAGTTCGATAAAGTGGTTATTCATTAAGCAGCGCATACCTCCACGATTACTTATAAAACTGATTAATTCAAACATAATTATTTTAATTTTGTTTTGAAATTTATATTAAATTGTTGGCGGCAGATAATTTTGAATTATTTTCAAGAATATTTTCAATGATCTTTGTGTTATTACTACAACAATTTAACAAAAATCGTTATAAATTTATAGTATTTTAATGATGGTATTAATATGATGTATTAATTATATTACATTGATTATTTTAATTTGTTTGATTTTTTCGTTCAATTGTACGAGACAATATCGGTTATCATAACTAAATCTTATTAGGCATACAGATCGGGCTGATATATTAATTTAGATATGATTTCTGATATATTTACTTCAATCTTAAAATAGATATTTTTTATTAATTTATAATTTCCTAGTTGTACTGATAAAACGAAGCACTCTGGATAAAATTCGAACGTAATACTTTTCATTCTTGATCTAATGTCTAGATAAACATTATAGTTTATGTACACATGCGCTGGCACAATTATCGAAACCTCTATATGAATTTACACTTTTTGTATTTGTTGATTATTGATTTAATGCTATAAAGTTTAAAATACATAATTAAACATTTTTATATATAAAAACAGTATTTTTTCATCATCAAAGGGCAAATGTTTGTGCATTTGTCTTTTTTACTGTAATTCCAGATACATTTCTTTCCAAGGACAATGTACTTTTTAATATAAGAAAAAAATAATAATAATAAAAAAAAGAAGAAGAAGAAATTGCTCCTCCATTTATGTACTTATGTACATAAGTTTTTGCAATATACATGAAATGCTTGTCGATAGATGTACAATGAATCAAATATCCTTTTGGTTGTGGCATTTGCTATTTTAATGCCAGCCGATACAAGCAGTCAAGTTAAAATTCACTTATTCCATTGAATCGTAAATTATATAATCCGTAGTGATTGAGTGAATTTATATTTTAATGTGGTAAGAGCAAATCCAACGATTGTGAGCTGCGTAAGTCAATTATTGGTGCTTTTAATAACGGCAATTGCATCGAGCTTTCCAATGTCAACGTTAATGCGGACGATTGGCTATAAGTATTATGGTCGTGGACGCTTAGAGTCAACTTTTATCATAAAAGCTCTTCCGTCTGGCTTTCTAGAATCCAGATATTTTCGGCATTTCCGCATTCGTACAGTTACACTTGCTTATGCATTATCTGCAGATTATGTGCTATCGGCAGGAAACCATTTTTACTATTTAACTGTCAATATTTTTTTTTATTTTTTTTTTTTTTTTTTTTTTTTTTTTTTTTTTTTTTTTTTTTTTTGAACTCTTATATCAGTTGTATAGTAATTTATGTATATTGTTATAAATTATGAATTTTCATTTTTCTTCTTTTTTTCATTTGAAAGGCACATGCAGCGGAAATATTCGCGCATAACGTTAAATGCTTTTAAGCCATTAAACAACTTTTTTTATTTACAGTGATGTATGATATGTTTATGTTTCGTTATATAAATGAATACAAATTTAGTTTTAAAATAACGTAGCGAAAATAAAGTGAATGTAAAGTGATTCAAATGCAGGGAATTAAAGCACATTAAGTAGTCGTGCAGGTAAAAATAACAATAGCCATTTACATGATCGAAACCAAGTTGAATATGAAAAGGATCAATTCTTTGTGTGCAAGTATTTTTATTCCTACATAGAAGATAAAATTTTTGTTTTTTCTATTTTGTTATTTTTTTCATTTTTTATTTTGGTATTTTTTTTTTCCCCTTTTTTTTTGTTACTATTTTTGTTTTACTGCTCAGAACACGACAAACGGTTGATGAAATATTTCGAAATTTTTAGGATACGGTACAATTTATCGATATAAAAACTTGAATCGTATGTGCCACTTGTAATATTGTGCCAGTGGCTTTAAATAAATTGGCAAAATTAAAAATGGAAAAATTTGAAGCAAATAATGCATCGAGTAGCTATCCTCACCCATACACCATTCCCTTTTATCATTGTTGAGAAATCCTGTACTTTTTTTATTACTATTAGTAGCACTGGAGATATATTGGAACACTTTTTTCACTGCAGTTTTACTGGTATCTATCTATTGAGCGCGTCCGATCTCTCCTACTGAAAATGCGGTCAAAGATGAGAGAATTTTGTGTCCAACCATAGGCGGATATGATTTTCTAATTTTCAATTGAAATCGCAGTATGCTTATGAAAAATATCGTTGAAGCTTATTTAATGTATCTACCGCTTAAGATGCCGACAATTGATTATACTTATAATAGTTTTCTAAAAACTTTTACATATAACATATTTATAGCTCATTGTAAGCAATTAAATTTTATTTTGTCATTTGGAATTTCATTACTTATTAAAATAAAGGAACAAAATAATACTAAATTTTTTTTTTACCATACATGCAGTATTCCAATGTAAATGAAATAACTTTGAGAATTACTTGATAAATTTATAATTATCAAATTTGTTTCATACTAACGAACATATATCCTTTAAATAATAACGGTTTAATGTAAAAAAGATTTCAGTAAAATAATAATTTCTAACTTATGTTCGTTAGAATTGGTCGATTAAATTTAATAAATAATGTTTTCTTTTACATTGAACATCATCATATATCGATTAGTTGATCTATAGAACGAACGGCTTTTTTTATATTTACAATCAATTATAATTGATTGTAAAAACTTTTTACAATGCTCGATTTTATTATTAACCATTTTAGAAATACGTATTGTTTGATAATTATTAATGATACTTTCGAATTTGATGGAAAGTGAATTAATATAATAATGAAAATAAATGCTTTCTAAGTATACAAGAATAGATTGACTAAGAAAGTAAATTCCATTATTTATAATTGATGTTTGAATTAAATTATGTTATAAGATCACAAGGTCACTTACTCTTAGTACGTAGTTTATCCATCGTTGTGTTTTTTATTATATTAGTATTACGATCACAATCACTTAAAATTAGTGTATTATTAAATAGAATAATACATATTCACGTATTTTTCTCTCGAAATACCGTAACTATATAATTGTATGCCCGTAAAGATGCGATCATTAAGGGAGTCGAGTTCAAATGATCACGATCAATCGTGTACCTAGGAGATGTCGCGGCGTACTGACTGAAACATTGGCATTGCCGGCGTACATAGTAAAGAGAAACAAGACAGAATGAAAACGTGTCGCCGTGCCGCCGATTCTGCCGCTCAATGTAGGTACGTATAATGACAGGAACGAATGCGAGTGAGACGACGACGACGACGACGACGACGACGACGACGACGACGACGACGACGACGACGACGACGATGACGACGACGATGACGACCCCCACCGCATTTTATCGTGGACGATATGTTAGTTCAAAGGATCAAGAGCGCATGTATACTGGTAGGAAGATAAAGAGGACCAGAGGGTGTATAGAAGAAGTAAGAAAGAGTTCTAAGATTTTCTTTATGTTTGAAAGCCTGAAATTATTTTTTTTTTATAGTTTAGAATGATAGATCAAAAAACAATGTAAAAATAGTTTGTGCGTCAAACTAAATAGGAAATTTTAATTGAATGTTTGATAAGGTATTCAGTCAATAGTTTTCAGTCTACAAAAGTTTTATATTTTAATTATTAGATTAAAACAGCGAAAATCGAAAAAAAAACTAATGTAAACACGAAAATAATAAAAAAAAGTTTGATTATTAAAATTAACTATAATTAGATACTTATTATATTAACCTGCATTTTGTGTAAATTTATAGATTATACAAAGTTGAAATACCGTTATTTTATGCTTTTTAATTCACTTATGTTGCATTTAAAGTTTAACTCGTAATAATTACAGCCTACATTATTATTTATAAGTTTTAATAAATATGCAAACTCTATACTGGCATAAAGCATCTCGTCAATTTTCATTGAATTTTTAAGAATTCCATTTAGTCCATCGGAGAAATTTAAATCATTGCCCGCACTGACATAGAATGTATACGGAAATTACATGGTATAAGAATAGATAAACAGGAAGATAAAAAGAATTTAACCACGAAACATCAAGGTAGAGCCGAGCGTTCAAGATTTAAACAACAGGATACGATGTCTTAGAATTACCTATATATTATCATCTGAATATACGCCCACTTTTTTTCAACGAATGCGTACGTACAATCATTTATTGATAATAATAACGTTAATTGTAAGTAACCAAATGGGCCAATATGTACATATATTTGTGTATATATTTGTAAAAATATTTTAATCCTGCGGACATATGTGAATATGTAAATATTTTCTATTTTTAAAAATTGAATTTTTTTTTTTTTTAATAAAAAATTGGTTTTGTACAACTAATATCTATTTTTTTGTTTAGAACCTTTGAATTATTTATGAAATAAAATGTAACGAAAACAAAGAAAAATTAATAATTAAGACAACTGAGATGTTTTGAGAAATGTTTTAAGCTTATAAGCTATTTTGAATCGCTACAAAAAATTCTACCTACTTAACAAAATTTACTTAATTCCACTAAAATATACATTAATTATTGTAAGAACGAGAATCACTTGTCACGTAATAATAATAATAATTATTTTATTTTATATTTATATAACTTTCAATAAATATTATAATCAAATATTTCTATTAGCTAATGGTAAAATACTTGTCAGATTGGCGCATCAATTATTCCATTTTATAATGAATGTAAAATGGGCGAATTCAAATTTGATTATCGTATTGATTGCGTATATTTGCTTTTAAAAAATTTAATATTGAACTTCCAAATAATTGATAGATTGGATTTTAATCAAAATAAGCTTTAATATTAACTTCAGTATTAAATTTATTACTTTAATTTAAATTTTTTACTTTAAATCGTAATATATTTTTATCAGATTTATTTGAAAATAAAAACATATTTTATCATAAATTATTACTAATAAATTTTTCATTTATTTTATAAATGCAGCTTATAATTGAAGTTTGTTACATAGAATTTTTATTTAATATTTTTAGGATTAAAATTTTCTTTTATTCGCATAACAGAGCTGATAATGATATTATATTCTTATATATAGCTAAAGTATAAACATAAAATAAATATTAAAATGAATATAAAGTGCATTAGAAATTAATATTATATAAATTCCATGTGCCTACAAACCTGGTACAAACCTAGTGTACTCAATATTTTAATTAGCATTCAATAAATTAATAATTGATTTTTAAAATTAATTTATTATTATAAAAATACAAATTACATGTAAACAATATTTAAATACAAAGTAGTAGGAACTGTTTTTATAAATATATTTTATTATTGCACAAAAGTATCAAGTTCGTGTCAAGTTCCTTTCACACTATCATATCAAATAATTTACCTCCTTTTTCACCATTTAATGACTTAAAAATAAAATAGTTTTTAGAAATACGTTTCTCTTCCTTATAATGATGATCGATTGCTTTCTATGTATTAATATAATTTATGTTTAATACTGTATTCAACTCAGAATTCATAATCAAATGATCAAACATTTTATTATTTTAAGAAAATGAATTTGTAATTTTAAATGATGCTTGAATATAATTAATTTTTTTTTTTTAAATCGGATTCCGTATTTATAAAAATACTACGCAATTAAAATGTTTATAATTATCTATTCAGTAACAATTATTATAAGACATAAAAAAAAATGCGTGAATTCATATTCGGACTAAATATTAAATATAAATTCTTTTTTTTCACATTCTGTATTCAATCTGAATAAATTTTCAATTTGACCAAAGTCATAAAATAATGGTATAAATAAACGAATGTTAATTGTCAATTTATTTTGCTGACGATGATTGCTCATAATTCGTTATATATTAATTAACTTTCTTTGAAGCACAAAGAGAATTGCAGGGTGAGAACGAATTGCTATCTCTGTCCTCTAAATTCTCTAAAGGAAAAGTAAACGTCTGCTCCATGCAGGAGTCCAACGACTCCACTCATGAGCTGAAAATAAAAAGACTACGGTCAGCTGTACATTTTAATTTGTTTATATTGTTAAAACATTAATCATATTTTCTGATGAAAGTATGCGCATTTTGAAAGCTTTAGTGCAACATACATATATATATATATATATATATATATATATATGTATGTTTCTTTTTATGCTTGCGTACGCGAGTGTATCTCTCACTCTCTCTCTCTCTCTGTGTGTGCGCGCGTGTGTGCGCGCGCGTGTGTGTGTGCGTATAAAGGCGAAATAAAAACTTGTAAGAAATAATGAATTTCACTTATGTAAGCAACAATTAAAAATTTATCCATATATCCATTTGTTTTTTAAATGAATATTTCAAATTAAACTTCTTTCATCGATTACATTATTCATATTATATTATTGCTTTACTACATTGTTGCTTTAATAGTTCAATCGTACGTGCATAAATGTTATAATATAAGCTACACAACGCTATTATAAGAGCAGCTTTTCAAAGAGTTCGATTTATGCATTCTCATAATAAACAAGTGCAAATTAATTATGAAAACAATTTATTCTATGGCTTAACTCACATAGGCTGCTGTCATGGCTGGATAAACGTCAAAGCCTGGCGTAATGACGTACATAGGCCAAAGAAACATTTTTGTCGAGAATGCCAAATATGATGCCGAGCTCAAATAAAGAAAGCACGAGAGAGCGTTAAACATCATTTCCTAAAACAGTTTTAATCGGTATTCTCGTAAAATTGTACGTTATTATAAAGAATGCTTCATAATGCATTCCATTATTCGATATAAAATATAATATTTTTATTAGTATTTGTTCAGAATTTAGTCGCCATTAAATATTAATCGATATTGTAGGAACTCGAGAAAAATATTCGACTTTGCTAACATGCACACAACAGCGCAAGACAAAACTGAAATTGGCGTTTCATTAATAGTTCTGAAATGCCGTAATATATGTCTTATATTATTCCCTCAATACTTCTTTGTTTCCATTGTTTAAGGCGTTAATAATATTTTTAGTGAAAATGAAGTCATAAATTTTAATTCAACTCTTATATTTAACCGGCAGCGTTCTGTTGTATTTAAGAGCATATGATAAGCTAATAATACTCCAATGTGAAGTGGCGAGCTCCTTCAAGATTACAACGAAGAATACAATAATTGGCTTTTTTTACTTTATTCATAAAATTTATCACATCGCTTATCATCGGAGTAAATAATGTCGAGTTTATGACTCACGAATAACGATGCGCGAATGAGTCTGTAAGATTTTTCGGATATAATGTAGCAGCCCAGCAAAACAGCGGAGGTGAGAAAGCAGGCTGATGAAGTTGTCAAGGCTCCTTCAAAGGCCGAGCCGATGGTCGCGCTGTACCTTAGTCCATAATTTATAAGTAAACTCTGTATTAGGCCACTGATAATCTGCCGGAAATGAATGAATGTCTCTGGTTTATTATTGGGTGATTATATTAAAAGATTTTGAATATTAAAGAACTTGGGAATCGCTGCTATGCTTTATGTTTAATATCGTCATTTATTTATATTGAATTTTTTAATACGTATGTAATATACATGCACACACGCACGCACTCACGCACGCACTCGTACACACACATATCTATATAATTGAAATGATTGCTTTAAATGGAAACGAACATCATCCTTAATATTTTATTTTATTTTCTATTATTATTAAGTATTTATCCAATCAAGATTATTTGAAATTGAACAAATATACTGTCTTTTATTATCTATCTACGATATAATGTAATATAATCGTTTCTAACTTTATTCTATCCTTCTTAAAATTCTTTTATACCATATGTATTTATTTAATTTCAATAAAAGTTAACTTTCTAAATATAATTAATTTTTAATTGATAACAAATAGAATTGTGTCTTATGGAAATAAATTTCTTTTATAAATATATTTTGATATTTCGCGTTATTTTTTATTAAAGTTTTTCTGTTAAATTATCTTAAAATCTTCTTTTAACTCTACCTTGCTAATATTGAATTTCATTATAAATAATTTCAACAATAAATACATTAATTTATCATAATTTCAGAACAAACGTGTATACGATTTATTTCAATATATATATATATATATATATATATATATATATATATATATATATATATATATTAAAAGGAAAGAGTATTACGAATATCAATCAGATAATGACTATTTAAGTTAAAGCGATAATTTTAAAAAGCTATAATGAACAGATTTAGTCTGCTGATTTGCTTACTCTATCATTCTATTTCGCAGATATAGTTTGACTATAACGTTAGCAAGTTTTATGTAAAAAATTTGTTGTATTTCATAGAAAAATACCTACCGTTTCGAGAGCTTTGATAATGCCAGGAACACTTTTGAGAAACTCAAGATGAATGCACGTGCAGCATCTACAAAAACAACAACCGATTCCTCCATTACCATGGGTCCCCATGGTTGCCATTCTTATAACTGGACCACCTTGATTGCCACCACGAGCAGCGCTATGTCCGCCGATTTTCATAGTTTTAATCTTTGCTATGCAAATTTTAAAGATTTAAGGTTTTTGTATATAATTTAAATTGTAAAAGATGTCGTTTAAAGCTGTATGAACTTACTACTTTAATAGACTGGAAGCTAAACAATAAAGGATAAAAAAAATTGAAAAGCTATTTTTTTCTGTTTGCAGGATAATGTTGATTTTTATCGAGAAATTGTTTTAAAATTTCTCTAAATCAAGCTATTTATTATTAAATTTTAAATGGCAAACATTTCTGTCATAAAAAAATTAACACTTATAATATATAGTTATGCAACGCTAATAAACTATCAGCTGAATTTTATTCACTAGTGTATCGTAATTGAGCAGACTATGTAAAAACTTCCTCGACTAATAGTATTAAATCCGACGTCTATCAAGCTTCCAGCTCTTTTATCAAAGTTGAATGGAAATTTTTCACTAGGAGAAGATATAAACTGTTCGGCGTCTGGCACAGCTTACCACTTAGGAGGCAAACGATGCATCGACTAAAAGTTTTCCGGTGAAACTGACATGAGCCGAGGGATGTACGCGTGTCGTTGTACCCTCTCGCCATTATTTCAACGTTGCGACTATTTCGGGCACGCGTCACCATCCCAACGCGTGCCTTTCACGACTTTCTTCCTTTTTATCTTCTGCGCTCGCGTTTTTACAATGGACTTTTTGGTCCTCTTCACGAGCGCCGCAGATGCTATGGATATTTACGGCGGCTGTAGGAGGTGCTTTGCTTTACGGAGGCCTTCAGTCTTTGATATAATTGTAAACTTCAAAATAGATCAAACATATGGGATGTGTCTTTATGGGAATTCAACATCTTACATATTCAATTCTATTCTATATAAATAAAGCGATTATTCAATGATTACTACTATTGAACTAACGATAAATTTATTAAACGATACATTGTTTAAATTCATAACCTGTGCCATTATTTTCGACTTAATGCATGCCTGTTGTTGAAAAATTGCTTCAACAATAATGTCAATTAGTTAGGAGTATTGAGAATTTTATTGCTTTATAATGAATATTTCAGAATATAACAACGTAGAAGAACGGCAACAAACGTAAGAAACATGATTTGTAGTATTAGTCGTTGAATATATCTTTTAAATTACAGATAAAAAAAAAATTAATAATTTTCAAAAACATTTAACAATCCCTGCAATCAATAAAGCGAATTATAAACTTTTACGTTCAAAATTAACGTTTTACTGTTGATCATATTTCAATAAAATGAAGAACATATATTCATTTTGACAATTATACGTTTTTCTCAGCCTATTCTGCTGCAATTTTCAATATTTATAGTTGAATAATTTAATTTAATAGCCGAGTTTAATTCTTTTTTTTTCTTTTACTGCTTTTTAACGTACTTGCATATTTTACAAAGACTTTATTGTAACATTGTACATAATGGCTCGATTAAATAATTTAAGAAATATTCGACAAAAAACAGGTATTCTCTTTGTAGGTCAATTATAAAATACAAAGCCTTAAAAAAAAATATATTATTATATACTTTTGAACTTATTGCAAATATTAACATACGATTTTCTAATACTTTTATAAAAAACAAAAAAACAAAAAAAAAAAAAAAATGAAGAATATTAAATAAAACAAAAACAGATTTATAGACAATTTTAGTAATACAGATGTTTAATTGGTCAATTTTAATTGAATAAGATTATACATTTTTATTTAATCTTATATGTATTTCATTAATATTTATTCGTATCAAGGCATTTAGTTATCCAAATTTTTATGCGATAAATTCTTCTAATAATGAATAATACATTTTTTATCTTAATTTACGCATTTTTTTTTCTCAGACCAAACAATTTAACAATAAACATATATTATTCGATTAAACTATTTTATCGGAATTAAAAAGTAATTTTATTTATAATAAACTTGGTTTTACAATTGTGTGGACGATATACAAAATTAATAGTTCGTATTAAATGAGATTTCAATTCTTTTTATCGTATTCATACATTTTCATAATTTTAAATTATTTTCAAGTTTAATTTTGTACTTTAATACCTATTTACAAATAAATATTTTCCTTGGGTACGAATAAACATTAATAACTTATTCTTCAGTTACGTCAACTTTACATTGTATATCGATTAATTTTTGTATATGACATTCTGATGTGATCATCTGTGAACACATACATGTAAATATTGAAATAAAAAAGGTTAATTTTCTACAATTTATCTAATAATTATTATTGTTTATTAGTATAAGACATATAAATATATACATATTTGAAAGTTAACTGTTTATAAATCAATTAATTTATTCTACTAGTTTTATTTAAATATCAGCTACAATATAAGTTTATTTACTATATTTATAATTTTAAATAAACAAGGAGTTTAAGATGTGCTTACATTGTATATTCAATTTTCATAGTTTTAAAATGATCAGATTTTAATTCCATACCTTACGATATATATAATTTATATACTGACATTTTAATAGTAGTATATACAGATATATGTTGTCTTTTATTAGAGATAGTAAATTTATAGATAATATAATTTGAAAAGAAATATATATAAAGGACAACCAGTGAAATATATTAAGCTTTTAATTGTAATTGTATAAAACTTAATTAAATGTCAATGAAAAGTCATTAAACGCTTAATACTTTTAATGTAAATCCTAAACTACCACGTGTAAATGAATATCATGCAAAAATACATTAAAATTTGATTATATATGATTAATAAATATTTAGTATATCATCTTTGTAACTAATACTTCTAATTCATTTATAATTGCTTTCATAATTTTACTATTAATATTGTTTTTCGTTATTAATTAAATTTAAAAAAAATATTACATAAAATAAATATTGTATTACGATAAGCGTAATTCACTTTTCTACTAGTAATATTAGAAATCAAAATATAAAACTGTAATTGTAATGCAGCATATTGCAATTTTATAAAACTTTAGTATGTCGGAGACTAAAAATTGTAACACTACTGTTTACGAATTAATTTTATTATAACAAAAATATTAAAAATAATATAACAAAATAAAACATATATTAAAATTTATAATTAAAATACACTTACAATATAACTCAAACCGTTATTATTTTAATGTATATATATATATATACTTAAATACCCTGCATAATAGTGTTCATCGCAGCTTATTTGTATTTTCGGTTGCTCATTATTAGGCGTCATGTTCTGCATTTATTTACATTTTATTTTGCATACACACAAACACACACACACACACACACACACATATTTGCTAAATTTTAAAATTCATTTGATATTTTTATAATTCATATTGTATAATAATTATTTTTCATTAATAAAGTATTCTTCGATAAAAAGTAAAAGTTTATGATTGTAGTTTCTTATAATGTAACTTAACGATAGTATTAAACTTATTTAATCATAATTTAAGTATCATCACGTATTTATCAATATGTTATATATATTTTAATAACATTCCAAACTAAGAATGTCGAAAAATATTAGTTTTCAAGAAAACATTAACTTAGCATTACTATTTTGCCTTGGTTTATAATTATTTTCGTCTTATTTTTATATAATATCTTTTATTCGCTTATTAAATAAAATTTTAATACATTTTAACATACAACGTATAGAGAATTAATATTATCCATAATATTAATGAAGTATTCGATAATTGATATTATTATGTAAGCAAAGTATCAATATAAAGTAAATTAACTTAAATATTTCGTTCATGATTATTTTTTAAAACCTTTATTGATGAATTGATTTATTTTTGAATATTTATACAAATATTAAGTTTATGGACTCGGATATAATTTGCAAATATACAACTGAATGTTTAGGACAAGTATAAAAAAAAATATTATTTTATTAATTTAAATTAACATTACTTTTTAATATAAAAAGTATGAGATATTTATAATATTTAAACCGATTATCATTTTCCTTCGTATATAATAAATTTAATAAGTAATTATTCATATGAAAATATTCAAAAATTTGTTATTTAAATATAAAATATGTTATAAATATTTTTTATGAATCAATTAAATTACAGAATGGAAATCGTCTTAAAATTAGTAAATTTGTATTATGAAACATTCGTCATTTAAAGTAAAAAAAATGTCAAAATATGCTAATTTTTGCATTACATAAATATACTTTAATATAATATAAAATTATCGTAATTCTTATACTTTTAATATTAATTAATAAATACAATATATTTCATTTATAGTTTTTAACATGTGTAACTGTATTCTTTTTATTATAAAATATTAATTAGTATGGCAAAAACAATAAATAATTTATTATATCCATTTATTAGTTTATATAAGAATATTATCAATATCTATATTGAATTAGTGATGTATGGATTAATTATTTAAAATAATTCTTTCTTTTCAACTATTTGTTTATAATTTTAGTATTTTCTTTTTATACAAATATGAAGTTATTTTGTTTCTAATTCTTTTTAAATAAATAGACTTTAATTCATTTTCATATTATGAATAAATTTTTAAATATAATAAGATCGAATGATATTTATATAAACATCATTTCGTTAATATCAATACATAAATATTATGACGTATTTCTTAATATATAAATGTATATTATGAAAACAGCAAAGGTTCATCAAACAATGACGTTTATTTTTCTATGCCATAAAAATCTTTTGCAATAATTATTAAAATTAGACAGTGCTGATGTAATTGTAGTTTATGAGATCATAAGTAAATTTTAAAGTTTAAACAAAATTTTACTATCGTTTATCTATATTTACGATGTACATTGTGATAAAAATAATAAATGATAATTATCTTAGATTTTCTGTTATTTTAAATTATTTAACCTACGTGTAGTGTCAATTTAGGACTAGATAATTTTGCCTTCTTCCGTCTATATATAAATATTTTATAATTTTTTTTATATTCTATAGTATTAAATCATTTTTACATGAAATTTTTCTATGCAGTGTAACGAAAAATATACAACATAAAGATGTTTCATCATAAATATATAACAATTCTCTAGCACTGTAAAACCACAACTGGCCTATATCATAAATAATGTCATATTACTCTTCTATCCTTTATTGTTATATCAATTGCAACGTTTTAAAGTTTATTACGTACAGCCAATGCTGTATTTCCCGCGTACAGAATCGCATCTATAATTCCCAAAATCTGTGGACAAAGATTGAGATAATTTTAAACCATGAATATACTTTCTATTTATTAATTATGAATACTTACTGCAGCTACCATTCGTCTTCCCAATCCTTGATTAGTTTCTTGGGCAAGAACAACGATTGATGCGATTAATATAAAAAATAAGGCAAACGAATTGTAAATAATTTCCTAAAACAAATAGATTATTTAATGTTGGAATGACTAATTATTCACTAAATATATATGTTTTATTCTTTTTATTGTATAATTTACTGTCACGTACGTATACATAAATTTATAAGTCATCTATATGTTAATAAATTTCATTAATAAATCTAATGAAAAAAAATTATTTTAAAATTTAATTTATGTCGCCAATGTCAAAATTCTTTGAAATTTACGATCTCATAAATAACTGCTCGTTCAACTAATAAAGGAATAATTTTTATGTTAATATTCTGATTAAAGATGTATGATCTACGTTCATATTAGAATAACTCTTCAAAATAATCAAAAAATTATGTTGAAGGCATCATTACGAATTGGTAGTGAAATTGTACGTGAGCCGAGGTAAGGTGACGAAGATAATTTATTAAGACAATATAATTTAAATACAATAAATGCGAACTTATCTTGTGAAGAGAAAAAGGTAACTGTAAAATAGTTAAAAAATTTTTACTTACATAGTTGGTTTTACCAATAATTGCTTCCGAAACTGGAGAGAAAACATAACTAATTATAAAGATAGCCGTGCCGATCATAAAAGCTGTTGCCACCAACATAAGAAAGGTATCACCAGATGATAGGAAGCTTTCGTTAATCGCGTCCACTTCCAAGCTCATTATTACTAACCCTACCACCTGTGTTTAATAAATTTGAATTCTGTTAAATTTTTAAGAATTATTGAAACCATGGAAATTAATTCATTTTACTCGTTTATTCATTCATTTATTGCTGAGTATAGCCGATAAACTCAAATAACGTAATTTCAAATTTAAAATTGTAAGATCGTATCGGCAATAAGTACCAACATTGTAGTGAATCACTGCAGTATAATTGCCGTACAACTCAAGAATTTATTATGTACATCAAGTTTTCAAATTAAAATACCTCATTGCGATATTTATGTATACTTACGTGTCCGATCGAAACTCGATTATAATTTTAAAATCTCTTAGAGAAGTATTATTGAAAAGGTTCTTTAAATCTATTTTATAGACTATATATATATATATATATATATATATATATATATATATATAAATGTTGTAGGCCAAAAATTCAAATACAATTAAGTGATTTATTGAATAGTTATTAGAAAAAGTACACGGTGTAATCGCTTCTATGCGATATATGAAAATTTAATTCCATAATCATGTGTCGAATAATCATAACGAAAATAATATATAATATGTCTTCGTTACTAACTTAAAAATTTTACAAAATACAATATTCACATTAAATTATGCCGATTTATACTTAAATTATGGATATTAGTATAAAATAGTATATATTTAAAGCTTATATTATTAATATAAATTAACGATAAACACAACAGTTAATAGAAAGATCTGTTAATAGATTAATAGTCCATACAGCATTAAATAAATGCATAAAATAATTTATCATAATAATCTTATTATATTGAACCGCTTAATTATTCCTTTTGATTCATTCTTAAATTCACTAAATTCTTAAGGCGTATAATACTCATAAAATAATAATATGAAGTATATAAAAGCATATAACATAGGCTATGTACTTCATTGAAAATACTTTATTATTTGATTTAAGAAATATTCGTATGTTTTATATTTTTATAAAGTTTCATGTGGCTGTTTCTTTTTTATATATCGCACATCCGTATTAAAGAACAAATATGATTATACGTTTTTTGTAACAATCTATTTTATCGTTGTTGTTTAAATTTAATAAATTACGCAACAAATTAAATACGAAATAAATTTCACTTAATGCAAATTAACAATGTAATGTTCATCTTATTCTTCTTTCGTATTTGCTACCGTATGAAATAAAAATTAGATCTAAAAATCTAGTGTAATTTAATATAAATTTATATAATCAATATATTCGTATTTGTAAAAAAACATTACAATGAAACTCAATTACTAACAATGCAGTGAATGATAGAGAAATTCGGCGTTGCAGCGTCTTAATGGATTAATACTATAAAACGCAAAATGCTTGTTTTTCCAATTATTATAACAATATGGTTTCGCTGTAAATTTTTAGACGAGTATATTTTGGCTTATATATTGTACTCTACATATATTATGATATCGATGCAAGGCAGTCATATACAATAAGCATATCGACAATTTCAGTTTTGATGATAGCGTTATAAAAATTCACATCGCTTTATGTATCTCAGCACATTGAATGAGGTATATATATTGCTTACGCATCTATAATGATAATTTCGAGTAGATATATTGAACATTGACATGAAAAATACGTAAATAATACCAATACTTTGTTTATAAAGTAATTACTTTGCTTCGAATCTTCGATTAGCCAATGATATTAAGAAAGTTATTTATCGCTTATTATCTTTTCGTTTTAATACAAAGTATAAATTAAAAACAAAAATGAAAAGAAAAATAGAAAAACGCTTGTTGCGGGCAACAATATTATCAGTATTGTCGTAGCAATGTTCGCGTAAGTACATGTAAGCATGAAAACATCTATACGTAGCGATGAAATCAATAAATCAGTTTCTGCTCGCATTTCGATTGTCGCGTAATATGTCGATTTTTGTGCGGTGTCTCGCTCACTGGAGCCTGAATTTATAGACCCCGAGAGGTACGAAGAGCAAATATGGTGCTAATTAGGTACAGTGTTGCGTTTATTAAGCCGCAGATCTGAAACAAAATTAAAAAAAAAAACACTTTGTTTTTAATTCCTCATTTACGTTTATATCATTCGTAACAAATGAAGGAAAAATAATATTCATAGCGAGCATTTTTTTCTTTACAAATTTCCATTTAACGAACATGTTAATCAATTTAATTTAATACTTTATTTAATAAATGTTGAATTATTTCTCATTTGAGCTAATATTATATTTGCAGAATATGACAACATAACGTAAAAATTGAACGAATTATCAATACATTTTTTAAGCAAAATATGAAGTTGATTTATTTATGTTGAATGGCAATTAAAGTAAAAAAAGGAATCTTTCTTTCAATGTTAATATTATTATTCTTCTATTATTGACTCTACTAAACTAAGGGATAAGAAATAATATGAAAACTCACGGCTGCACCCATTTCCAGCTTCTCACTTTCAGTCCGATTATAATATCGTCCCTTCGTGACCTTAGTTAAGAGCGTCACCGAAGCGGCAAGGAGAAGAGCAAATGCGAATGCATGAAACAAGAGTTCCTGTACGAAAAATCATTTGTATTGAATATTGTTTAATAATATATGATAATATATCATTTAATGCATATTTCTTTGACAATATATTATCAACAAAAATAAATAAATAAATAATTTGCCAACGACCCATGATTGAAATATACATTAAAGTTATAAAATTATGTCGAAGTACTTGAGTACAAATAATTCTTCGTCAAAATGAATGTACTCACAAAAATAGTTTTCGAAATGATGGATTCTGTTGTGTAGGAACAGAGACAGCTGAGCACTAGAAGAAAACTTGCGATCATGAAGGTGGTCGCTATCAGTATGAAGAATAGATTCTCAGTGACCGTCTGGCCACCAAAATAATGGCTGATCACGTAACCGCTTAAACCCACGGAGACGATGCCTAGAGCCTATTGTAATATTACACATTTACGTGTATAATTTTTTTAGAATAAATTTCGCCTTCCCTCACCTTATCAAATGCAAATGCAAGACTTTTATATAATGATCACTTTCATTTCTTCCTCAAAATCTCCTTAATACTTCATATTTAAATGTAATCTATTAATAATGGCCATAAATACTTTGTCACGTAATTACGTATAAATGTAATAGTAATGAGAGATTGATGTTATTACATTTTTTTTTTTTTTTTTTTTTTTTTTTTTTTTTATATTGACACAATTATTATAAAATTAAAGAAGGATGTCTATCAAATAAACTATGTCCCACTACAAAATTGATGAAATCAGTAACTTATCAGAATCTATAACGTAGGCTTTTAATAATTTTCTTTACATACGAAAGATAAAGAGCAATTAAATAAAATAATGATCATTAATAATATTAATTTTTTTGCACTTAAAGAAAATATTTTTTTTTTTTTTTTTTTTTTTTTTGACACTTATATTGAAATAAAATAATAATCATTAATAATATTAATTTTTTTGCCCTTAAAAAAAAAATTTTTTTTTTTTTTTTTTTTTTTTTTTGACACTTATAAAGTATTTTGTAATTGTAAATTATATTTGATTTATTTTGTCGATATTAAATCACAATAATTACAAAATATTGCCGTTGTTAATTTTTTGAATATATAAAAAAAAAAAAATTTTTTTTATCAAAAGCATTATCAATAATTGATTATGATGATTTAATAAATAAGCGAATAAAGACAAAGTAAATAAATAAATAATCGCTACCAACAATTATTATAATGTATATATATATATATATATATATATATATTATGTATAATAATTATATACATATTGACCAATATTTACTTTTGTAGCTATTTGATAAAAAATTCTCTACTATATGTATAATGTCAGAAATAAAATCAAGAAATTTCTAATATTCCGCATCGTCTTTTATAAAAGCATGAAAATACTCTAAGCGGGGCATTTTATTTTAACACTAATTAACTTAGGCGTGAAAATTATTTACGTTTTTATACGTACGGAAGAAAATGATAAAATGTCCTTGAAAAGACTACACGTAGATAGAGCATGTTTTAATTTGACACTGCACAAGGAAAAATCTCATATACATGTACGTATGTTTTCCCATTTTAACTATTCATGATTCTGATATTGCGTACAATTTTTACCAAACATTTTATCGAGTGTTTTTTCCTTAAATGGATATCCAAGATTTAAAATAATATATTTAAATGTCCTTATTTATCGTAATTTTCTATTTTTATAAATCTTTATAAGGAATATGTGAAGCACTCGTGGCTAATGGATTTATTAAAATGTTTTATTAGAGATTTATTACAGCTGATGCTGAATGAAAAATAAATTTGAAGAAATAGTTGAGTTGTTACCCGTGAAAATGTAAGACACCGATATATCGTATATTGTAAATTATGAGGTGATTTTTCGTTCGTTGAATATTAAAGTGATGAAATCGCAGTCTTAAAATATATATGACATTCACAGAAATGTGGCTACATAAATATATAAGAATACTTGAATGATGCCTCTTTAGCGCTATTACTGGTCTTAGGATTTACGAACACTAGCAGAACTTATGCCAAAATTTGTAATTGTTGTTGTTTTTTTTTTTGTTTTTGTTTTTTGTTTTTGTTTTTTGTTTTTGTTTTTTGTTTTTGTTTTTTGTTTTTGTTTTTTGTTTTTGTTTTTTGTTTTTGTTTTTTGTTTTTGTTTTTTGTTTTTGTTTTTTGTTTTTGTTTTTTGTTTTTGTTTTTTGTTTTTGTTTTTTGTTTTTGTTTTTTGTTTTTGTTTTTTGTTTTTGTTTTTTGTTTTTGTTTTTTGTTTTTGTTTTTTGTTTTTGTTTTTTGTTTTTGTTTTTTGTTTTTGTTTTTTGTTTTTGTTTTTTGTTTTTGTTTTTTGTTTTTGTTTTTTGTTTTTGTTTTTTGTTTTTGTTTTTTGTTTTTGTTTTTTGTTTTTGTTTTTTGTTTTTGTTTTTTGTTTTTGTTTTTTGTTTTTGTTTTTTGTTTTTGTTTTTTGTTTTTGTTTTTTGTTTTTGTTTTTTGTTTTTGTTTTTTGTTTTTGTTTTTTGTTTTTGTTTTTTGTTTTTGTTTTTTGTTTTTTTTTTGTTTTTGTTTTGTTTTTTTTTTTGTTTTTTTTTTGTTTTTTTTTTGTTTTTTTTTTGTTTTTTGTTTTTTTTGTTTTTGTTTTTAGTTTTTTTTTTTGTTTTTTTTTTGTTTTATACTATACATCTTATAGTTTGACGTAGAAACACTTTTTGGTTGAAAAATCAGTAATACGCTTATTGATTTATATTTAGAATACATTGAATTATTATAGAAATTGATAAAAATAGAGAACACATCGATAATTGTGTTTCGGGTTTTATTTGCTAAACAATACCTTTTAATAGTGAACAATTCGATTTTTATCACATTTAGAGTCTGACTTAAACAATAAATGTTATTAATCAATAGAAACTTTACGTAATGTAGCTGCACTGAAAAACTATATTAAGTCATATGCAAATGCCTGAAAAAAGATAGCGCAAAACTCGATAAAAATATTTGTTAGCGCTTATAATATTATACTAAGGTTCAAGATCAAAATTATTATTTTGTAATATAACGACAAATAATCGCTTAAATGAGTCCTATTGTGAAAAAGCTCACGATAAGATTCACAGTAAAGTTCTATCACAACTAAGTATTTACACTATATCACGGAAGTATTAAGTCAGAGTCAATACAAGCAATTCTTATTCAATTAGGTCATCATCGAATGGACTTTTTGTAATAAAGTGGTTAATATTACATGTGAGACAAGTGCCATGATTGCACAAAAATAAAGATGAGGTTTTCATCATTGATAGCCAATGGTTAGCATCGCGAGGTCAAATTCTTATACGACACGCGAAAACTGTTTAGTCTCGATTTCCAATCTTTTCTAGCAAGGCTACATCTGCAGTTGTAGAATTTCCCGATTTATTTCATAGAGTTTCATTGTAAAGTTTTTTTTCTTTTCTTTGAAAATTAAATTCTTTTTGATATTTTACAAATAAAAATATGTGCGTATGCGAACACGTCTAATATCATCTTATATCATATTTTTATAATATCGTTTCTAGATGTTCGAGTTAAATATATTTCTTAATAACTAAGAGAGTCGAAAATATTTGTATCTTCGTATGTAGCAACTGAATCTGTGCTTAGCTCATAATTAATTTTACTTCACTAATAATTAAAAATGCAAAGTAAATTACTTCGCTCAATATAAATGATATTTAATGAAACGTCGAAAACAATAATTACTTTCTTAATTAATATTAAGTATTAATTATATTTATGGAAAAACAATTTTAATATATTATAATAATTATAAGTAGAATTATAATTTGTAATTGATAGTAACCGACTTTAAAATTAAGTAAAGTATTAATAAATATTACAAAATAAATAAACAAATTTAAGATACAAGAGTAGGTGTCTCGATAGAATGTTGTTTATAATTTAGCGCAGTAATCGCTCGTTAAATTAATTACATGGAAGCGGTTGAAAGCGTTCTTAGAAAAAATGTCTGCATCGACACAACTTGTTGTAGCGAGAGACTGAGTTAATACGAACCACTTGTGCAAGCTTCAGAATCCCGGTCCATGATCTGCAAAAGGTGGTATTTATCGCCGATGGGCTTCCAGTGGTAACCGTTCGGGTTTGAATCGTAACCGAGTGCGACATGGTTAACTTTTAATTATTTTCTGCAATAAAATTTCAACATTAGTAACGGCATTTATACATATGAAATAATTATTGAATTTGAATGTAAATTAAGGCTAATATTGCATAGTAAAATATCATTTTATCACATGAAAATACGATATGAAAGTGAATTTTAAAGTAAACATTTAGCATTCGAAGACGGATGCGAATTTTTTAATGTAGAAAACTGTCTAACTAATGATGTAATTAATTTTTTCTAAAGTAATATAAATATATCGAGCGTTAATTATAAATTATATTTCTGAAAATAAAATAGAAATTATTCGTGGAATATAATAGATGCGAGATAATTTTATTAGGATTAATGCACCAATTTGCGCTTAAAATTTGCGCAATAGTTTTGACTATTACTATATACTCACCCAATGACTTAATTGTTAAATTACTGAAAAGAATTAAATAAATCCATTATACCTAGTACATAATAATGTTACACGACGATAAGAACAATAGCAACCTCAAGAAAATGGACTTAATCTCCCCGGTGAAGTGCATATGCGCGGTGACCATACGCTAAAAGAGCACAAGGCCAAGATACTTCCACGGTGACCCACATTTTTAGCAAAGCCGCACAGCGCGTGTTCCTTCTCTCTCTCTCTCTCTCTCTCTCTCTCTCTCTCTCTCTCCCTCTATTATTCGTGCGCGTATTCTCATTCGTTTGGTCGCTTGCAAATAAAAATAACTCCTACGCGTGCACCATGGGCTTGAAAAGTATGACCGTGGCTTGGTCGATTTTTCTTCAAAGTCCTCCACAAGAGCATTCCTGTAAGTACCTTCCGTTCCACCCTTTATGCAATCCTTCCTTCGTAACCTCAACACTTATCAACTAGTCATTTCCTTGCCCGATCAAACACGTTACTTTGGAATCTGTTGCACATTCGTATAGTAACACAAACATTTAAATATATAAATATAAATATAAATATATATATATATATATATATATATATATATATATATATATATATATATATATATATATACATGTATGTAAACGCTTGATTTTTTTTCAATGAATTTTATTAATGAAGAAGTCTATTTACTTTATATTTTGTCTTAATAATTAAAATATCATGAATATTGATTATTTATTAGTACAATTAAAAGATACCAATGAGAGGGAAATTTTTCAATTAAAATTACTGTTTATTAAATCACAATCACTACGTTCAAAGTGTTAAATACATATTTTAAAAATAACGTATTAATATTTATGTATATTTTATTTTTATACATCTTTATTTAAGTATTTAAGGTAATAAGCAATTTATCTTCAATTAAATTAAAATGATTGTGAAAATAATAATCTTTAATATAAAAGTTTAAAAATAAAACGTAATACTATTTTAAAGAAAATTAAAGATCTCTATAAAAAATATTACTTAATTTATAATCAAGAACTTTCATTATTGATGAATTTACATTTTTCAAGGTGCATATATTTCATGTAAATAACGCATTATCGCTCGACATTTTACGTAAATTTATCATAAAACTTATTGCAGATGTGAATGGAAATTTAAAAGTAACGGAGGGTAGAGTGAAAATTGCACTGGCTATGCGATTTCCGCGCCTATCATCAGCGATGACGCACCTATCAATCGATATTTGCGGCGCCAGTTCGTCCCCGAGGATCCATAACATGTCGCCATGTATAGACGCCTAAAGTCACGCACTTCAACTTACCATTGCACAGCCGAAATTTTCCTTTTGCACCTTGCTTGCTTTACCCCCTCTTTCGCTTTATACCATAAGCGATGAGATTTTCATTGAGCCACTGGTGACGCACACCTAACGATTACCCAATTGATTGACCTTCTCATTCATCGTTGGAACGACAATCGCTCGACCAATTTTCCGCTCGGCCAACGATTTTCCTTACGACGGGACGGCTTTTTTCACGAAAATAGCTCGAGCTTTACAAGTGTCCAGAGGTCGTCCATTACCATTCAGAGTTAATGATCTCTCTTTTATACGAACTTCGTCCTTACGAGTTATCCGGCGATCTATGCATATGCAATCAAAACTGTTGTTCTCTCAGCGCTCCCTCTTCGGTTTAAATACGTAATTAATAATCGCGTGTGGCTCTATTTTAAGGATTACACAGTCCGATTTAATCGCCTCTAACCACACGAAGGATTAATTCCTATAAATTCCGTGATTTAATTGTAAAAGACGCACTTTACTATTGGGCTTTAACTGATTGACCTGGCTTGATACATTTTACTTTTGGAAAAACGTTAATAAATTAAGGTGGGAAGAATTCGTGTTGTGGATTATAATTACCTTAACTCAATGCCGTTCGTTTTACTGTCACTTACATAAGGAAGGCTTATTCTACGGGTAGTCCCTTTCGAAAACGATTCCCTTATCCCTCGATAAAGGAGAAAGAAAGATTTTTTCTCCGTCCATGTACGAGTGTCACAAGCCTTTGCAAGGGAATGGATATTATTGCGCGAGTCGTAGAGCCAAATCGATATTGTCGGCTAAGACGTTGTATTTTTAGATAAATAAATCATGCCGAATCAATACCGCGTATCGTTGTGAAAAACAGCGTGTACAGCTCCGGCGGCTAAAAATATTCAACCGATCGGCGCTCGCGCTCATTAATGCCATCCTTACATTCATAAATGAGGATGCCCCAGTGGGAATGGGATCGGCGAGACGTTTAGCAGTGGGACAGGGGACGGACGCCGCGTCCAAATCGGATCCCCACCCGTGTTCTCCCGTGCATTTCCCCGCGGAAATTCGAGCCGCGACTCTACGATAGCGCGGAACGGTTCAAGAGAGACAACGAGAGAGCGAAGAGCGTGCCGGCTATTTTTGTCACGTAAACAAATGCAGCGGAGGTGGATTAAAAGGATCCCACGAGGGTTGGAGATGGGGGTGGCTGATAAGTGGCGATGGACTCCCTTGCTTCGACGACTAACCTCTGCTTCGCTGCTAAGGGCTCGTCCGCTTCTGCTCTGCCTGTGCGTGTGCGTAGGCGCGTGCGTGCTTATGCGCGCTTAACTTTTCGTGCGTGCGTGCGTGCGTGCGGTGAGGCGCGTTTTGCACAGCAGGCCAGTCGATTCGTCGTGGCAGCTCGGGTTTGACTGAGAGGAGGAAACGCCGCCGGACGACGCGCGACTCCCTTGCTCTCGCACTGACGTCACCGATGATATCATCCTACGCAGTCGTGCTCGCGGTCTTGGTTCCCCGTACCCCTTGGCCATCCCGGCCACTCTCCGCCCCAGCCGTCGACAAACGTAACGCGCGAGCGAAGATGTTTCGCGAGATGAGAGGG